ATGAGTTGCTTATATGCCCACCTAACATCTAGCGGTAACCTTAATATTCATCCTGCCCTTGTACGCGTGGTCTGGCCTTTCAGTTCTGCCAAGACCTTATCCCTTCTTCTTCTCTTTGATTATATGTATTCAATTAAAATTAATACCTCCTCCGATCTCAAGGAAGCCTCCTGGAGCTAACCTTTCAAGCAACAGATTCATAAGGAGCTTGCCGGGATTGGGACGGGGAGGACGGGGAGGAGTAATTGTTGTGCATGAAGCAGAAATTTCGGCTTAGATGTGCACGGACAAGCACCCTCACCATAGCAGTAAATACGACCTAAATTGTTACGATCCATAAGCATTACTGTAATACATTGTTTATGTGACCATCAGATGTTTTGAGGTTGTTTGGGCGTTCTGTTTGCTCTTGTAGGCTTGGACTGGTCTTCGGACCAAGCCAAGACCCTAGTCTTCTTCTCCTCTTAGAATTCATCTGCTCTGCCCAACGTAATACTTTCTTTAATCTGATGTGAAGTCTCAGGACGCTACAATTACACCTACCAATGCAGTCTTTGGACTGCACCAAGGTGGACTTAGCCCCAGCATCCCTCTGTGATTGCTTCTCATTGCAAAAGATTGGATAAAGATTTAGTATCTCATCTCCTAGTGTCTGTATGGTTGCTACTTTTATCCCATAGCTTTAACTTAGATGCAGTTCATCATTTCGGTGGAATAGCATTATTGGGCTGTAACGAGCTGCTTATCTCGTTTCCTTTCCGATACGAATTCGGTCCATATTTGAGCTTTGCATCGCAAAGCTTGATAAGTTTTAACTAAAATACATTAGTAATTCAGCGGCACCTCTAGCCATTATTTCCTGCATTCATTGCGGGGAGTTATGATCGGTTGAATATAACCCCATTTCGTTCTGTGCCGATGGAAATTGTCGGGTTGGTAGCGCTCAGCCTCGAAGAACAACACAAACCTTTCTTGAAAATACCAACTTGACACTGCTGGTTATTTATCGCATCGGCTCCGTCCGTGTTCGCATTAACTACATGCTTCATTTTGCAGATTTTGTTGTTTGGATTACATGAATCATAGTTTTGTTCGATTTAAATTTACAAGTCGTTTTTAATGGTCAAATGATCTCGTGCGAATTAAATGCGGAATGGCATAAACACCCCGTTCAAAAGGAGACAAAAACCGATCTCCACGTTTCCGTTGTGCAATTACAGCCAGATATTGTCATAAAAGCTCTTGTAGAATCTACTTTCGGATGAAAAATAAAACCTCTGTTATGCCATTCAAATGCCTTAGTTCTAAGAGGGCTAGAATTCAGTTACCGTATTGCATTTTCTGTACTCTATGAATACAATCCATCTGCAGGTTTATCGCTAACTTCTCAACAACCTCGTACTTCAACACCCTCTTACAGGTGCACCCCAGTCTTCCTTTCTGTCCGTCGCCACAGTTGCCTCAATCCTTTCATGAAGAGCCGTCGAAAGTTGCACACCTGTAACGTTGTTAGCCTTTTCAAACGTGAGCACAATTTAACTGAGAAATGTAAAAACTTTAACCGTTGCCGCACAGTGACATGTATTCCGAACCATACACAACCTTTGAGCATGGGTTGAAGCATCCGTGTCATGTGATCTAAGCCTTTGGTAGGTGAATGACTCCTCCTATGGCCAAGGCCATCGCTCTCTCGAGTGGGCGGATGAAGGGTTACGAAAACAGTTTACAGTGTCTAAATGTTTACATGAGAATGACCACGCTTATCTCAAAGCTTGATTGGAACGCAGTGACCACATTCTCCGTGTCAAATGCATTAATTGTTATTTTACATTCCAAAAATCGTAGCAGTTGCAACAGTTAATTCGACATACGAATAAACTCCCCGTTGCCATTCCGTTACTCAATGGGAGATTCAAAAGGTGTTTAAATGATTATCAAGGCATTGGACTCAGGTGTCATCCCCAAGTAGTGAGATGTTGCAGTAATATGTTAGGAAATGTAGTGCTAATGCACAAAACTTGAGGGCCAACTGACGTACAACAATGTCCCCTAGTAAAACCAGTCCACGAGCAATAAGATGTGGACTGACCCAAGGGGCCAAGGCACGACAAAAACCCGATAAGACTGGATTTTACAACTTTGCACAGGTAATTTCATGTTAAGGGCGGCCTACTTTGATAAATAAACACAACTTGACAGTTTCTTCTTGCGTGCATCATCACTCCCATTTGGTAAAACATTAGCTGGGTGAAATATGCTATGCGACCCATTTCATTCCTTGATTAAGACGACCAATAATGAACTGCTTGTATGTAGCTCCTGACTGGTGTCTCAAAGCGGGTAGACAAGGTAGGAAACAATCCGATTTTACAGTGCTACGGATTAACCACAGATGCAAGATCGCACTTTTTCTCTTGTGGTGGATATTTAAGGAAGGGAATGGGTACCTAATGTACGTATAGCCCACAAACCAGTACGGTGTTCCCTTTTGCGACTGGGAATAGAAGAGGGAGACGATCAAATACATTCCGTTTTCACGGTCTCAAAGCACCAGACATTATCTTATAAAACAAGTGCAGAACTTCGTGATCCTAGAAGCTCAGTAGCAAACGACGATATTCCATTTCCTATCCAAAATCCTATCGCTTGCCAAACATTTAACAGGGAGCCGAACACGCTGACATGCTTTGACGTCGTTTCTACGTTGAGTCACCGAGTGTCAAAACCAATGCAAGTTGCCAATAATCTAAAGTGCCATTTCTAATAGGTTTTAGTGCGCTTCATAAATGATCCGACGATGGCAACACACGGCAACTGTTAGATGTACTATCATATGGTTTAGCTCAAGAGTGTGTATCCACCTTTTCAAGGATTGTATTTAATATTTGTTCTAACCCAAACGCCATAACAACAAGAAACTTAAGAATGTACTGGTACTTCTTCTCTGGAAGCAGTTCTAGATTACGAACATTTGAAAACATGTCAGCACATGCAACCGTAAAGATGCGTTTGGGAATCACGTTTGTGGGTCACAAATGGAAAACACGATAATTTGTGTGGGAAGAAAAAGCGTTAAAGAATTATATCAAGGGATAAGAGGCTGCAGTAGCAACGCCGCACAAATTTCCGGCTCGCTTGATACGTACATAGCCGTGTTCACCCCAGTTTGTGCCCCAGCTGTTCTTAATCAACCAATAAGGAATACCGTTCTGTTCCCCGTATCCCACTAACAAAACTCCATGATTTAGATCTTCCATACGTCCCTTACACTCTTGATCGTCGTAGATGCCTGCACAAAAAAGAGGGAGAGATAACAGGATCCACAATAATAATAGCAGATAAAACAATAGTTGTAAAAAAGGTATTACCTTCATGGTACATCATGAACGAGGTAAGACCCGCATTGATCGCAACAGATATGGGTCCGTTGAAGGCAAGGGCTTCCATTAACTCCTCATCAGCCCCAGACACTATGTCCACTAAACCGGTTACTTTAGCAACCGACATGTTAGCCTTGAAGGAGCAGTTGTTAGGTTGTTCAGTGACACCCGATACGTAGGGATAGTCTTCCTCGCGATCTACGCCACCCACTTTCTTCACGTAGTTAAAGGCGTTGTCCATGAGACCGCCATTACACCCCATGTTCCCAAAACTGAAGCTGCAGTCCACTAGCTGTTGTTCAGACAACCTGATAAGGTTTCCAGATGCACGCTGATACTGACCTTCAATCGCACCTATCGCCGAAAACGCCCAACAGGACCCACAGTGACCTTGATCTTTCACTTTTGTTACTCGCCTAAACAACAATGCAGCAATGTATCATAATGGAAATTACTTCTCAATCGAATCTATTGCTCACCCTTTTAGGCGCCAATCAACGAATTCTGGCAATGGCGTATACCTAGCCAGCTTCCGATAGACGTGACGCGGAATGGTTAAATTAAGTTTTTCAAAGCTAGGACGATAGCCAAGGTACTTTCTGTATTGAGAGGGACTCTAAAATACCATGAAGTAAATTATAACCGTTTACCAATGCGGAGAACTTGTTGATGCCCATGGAGAAGGAAGACGATTCCATCAAGTGTTTCCACATCTTCATAACATTTGACTTAAAGTTTCGAAAAGACAGGAAACTCGGGGTGTGATTATACTCCTTAATAAACAACTGCCACAAGTACTTAAGAGTCATCGCTTCATTATGGGATAGGTTTTGAGCGGGAGAGTAAAGTTGACTCCATTCAATGACAGTGGGACGAGCCAAACACAGACAGACGAAGAACGTAAGAGGGAAAATCAATCGCATTTGCGAGAAAACCTGAGTTCGAAGGCAAAAAACGACAAAAAAGGAGTAAAATTAAAATCGAGGCAATTAACACACAAGTCAGCACTTCCTCGAGGTAAAGTTTCGAACCTCAAGAGATGAATTCACGCAACAAGAAAGCCAAGAGCGTTTTTGCATAGTAAAATGCGACTTGAGTTGACTTACAATTAAATACGATAGCCAGTAGGGAATTAACGAAGGCGAGCCGACCACATCTGGTACAGCAATCAGCCCTTGAACCCAGTCGATTTGGTTCATTTAAAGGTCTTGAATTATAGTAATGCTGATATTAAAACTAAGCCATTACAATTGCATTAGGCTGATCGCAGTGTAAAAAGTAAGTGTTTTTAGGGGGATTATGTAAAAATTGTACCAACTGCCACTGTAGGCACAAAAAGGGAAGGATATATATTTTGATTTAGGCGAAATAGCAGTCAATGATTAGTTTTAAAATTATACAAACAAACGTTCATTACTTTATTTGTAAAATGTCTGCATCATGTGTGGTTACCTAAGTGACAAGATTCCGTCTGCCTGGTTAGCTAGGCTTTAGGCCAAGCCAAAAGCCCTTTCCACTTATCTTCCGTGCAGATGCATGAATGCAACCCAATTGCCGTATCTAACGTATGTGCGTGCAAATAGTTGTCATAATTTGAAGGCCAGCCAGAGGGTGGCGACAAAATGGCCGTCAGAGTGAAAATTGTCACGCAAGCAGTTAGACAAACAAAGCCAGCGGTCTTCCCTTCCTTATGAATACACTAAATACTCATGACAGGAATATACTGAAAGTACTTTTATTCCTGTCTGTCTGGATGTGTATGATTAACTAAGTATCATGTCTTGAAATAATTGACAAGAACAATTAAGGCGCAACAGTAATGGATAGATTATTTCAGCCCTTGTATTTGTAGCAGCCCGAGACTTCTCACCGGCTGAAAGAAGTCAGTAAGTGAAGCTGTATACATGTATTTCAGCGAAGGCAAGGCATCCGGGCCTGAGCGTGGCCCGAAGGCCACCCCACAAGTACAAGGCCCAGGTTGTTATTATTTGTTTATGTGATTAGCTGACGTTTGGTGGTCACTTTAGGATTTGTCTGGCTCTTGTATACGTGAGTTGGCCTTCGGGCCATCCATAGACTTATTTTCCCTGTCGTCTTCAGAGTACATGTATCAAGCTGCACTTACTAACTTCTTATATTGGCTGGGAAGCCTCGCGACGCTACACAGATAAATTCTAAAGTAACCGATGAACGTCAGGTAGTCACATTAAAAAGTGTTGTGATATTAGCCGTTTTTTTACAAGTTAGATGTGCAAATGAGGCAATACTTCTTTTGCGAGAAATGTAATGTGTGTTCGTGTTTAAGTTGACTTATATAGAGGCGAGGCGAAAAGTGAATTCTAACGCGAATCCGAGGGGTGGGGATAGAGAGAAACCCCTCTTTGGGTGATATCTGCCATTCAGATCAGGTGTACTCATATCCCTGTTTTACCTGATGTACCGTCCCGAGGCTTTCCATAGGGTGAAAGAAGGCATAAGTGAGGTTGAAAACGTGCATTCTGAAGTCGACAGGACAAATGGACTTGGGCATGACTCGAAGGCCAGCTTACTTGTACAAGAGCCAGGCAACTTCTATAGTGACCGCCATACGTCAGGTAGTCACATAAACAGAGCATTACACCTGCATTCAACGCCTAATAAATCTACTGCAACAAAACATCTCTTGAAATCGGTGGTTCAAGGGCAAGAGGAAAGGCAGGTTGTTCATACAAGAATCTTCAATTTCCTCACTATGGAGGGGTTACATGAATTACAATTACAGCTTATATGCCTTATTTATGTGGCTACTTGACGTTTGGCGGTCACTTTAGGATTTGTCTGTTCCTCGTACTCGTGGACAGGCCTTCTGGCCATGCCTAGGTTCATTTGCTCTTTTCTCTTTGGAATACACTTATCCAGTCTCACGTACTGTTTCCCTTTACCCTACGAGAGGTCTCTGGGTGCTACATTGTTAACAGTCGGCTTTACACAAATTAAATGCGCTTACTCTAAAAATATCTAAAATAAAATCCGGAGCGCAAAAAGTTTTGAATATATTCAAGAAGGCTTGATTACAGTCGTCTTAGCCATTTTTATTTGGTATTTTAAAAACTCGGCTCCAAGACACAAAATGTTTTACCATCCATTGGTCGTGTGGCGTCTTCGTCAGCATTGGGTGCTTATGCGCTTTTTCTGTTCTGCTTGTGTGCAGTGACGGCTTTGGCTTCTTGTCAATCTGTGGGGGCGATTGGTGTTTTTGGGGAACATGGCTTCGATTTTGGAGTCCTACGAGAAGCAGTATGGAAATCTTACGAGCGAAATCACTGCGAAACTTAATAATATATCCAGGCTCGCTAATGGTAAAATTGATTGTTAGAACCTATTAATATCCTTGACGTTTTCTGATTCAAACTCACGTGCAAAAGCTGCCTCTTTTGCAATGATTTTAGATTTTCCCCTTTTCATTTTTGTAATTTGCCACTTTTTGGTAAGGCTTTTGTTTCAGTAGCTGAATTTCAGATTCTCCTTTACCTGTATTATAGTTTTCTTTATATATTCAACTATTTTTGCCTCGGTTCGGTTCTCAAGCAGTTAATGAGCTCCTTGTATTTTACGAAAGATGAAAGGAAGGCAGAGATAACAGCAACTACGCGTTTGTTTGATGAAACTCGTGAGCTTCTTGAACAAATGGATTTGGAAATACAAGACATGCCTGCCGATGTGAAGCCCAAGTACACTACTCGGCTGCAGTGCTATGGTCAAGAGCTCGGACGCCTTGCGCAAGAGTTCGTAAGTATTTGTGCCATCCCTTCACCTGTAGGCGCCTTCGTTATATTGAGCTATTTTAGTATATTCCCACTTATTTCCAAAGTGAATTTATTTTTCCACACTTGTCACTTTCCTTTCGCACTAATATCTGTCTGATACCTGGTAGTTGTGTGGTGTTTTGCAAACAGGCGGCAGTTTATTAACTCATTTTGGTACATAGCCTCCTTTTTTCTCAGGTTCTTTTAAAGCCTGTACGTTCGAGTCGCCCCATTGAAGACGTTGCGCTTCAGCTAGTGGAGCTTTTACCATTTACAGAGAAAGGTTCCTTAAACGTTTTATTGTCTTTCATACTCAATCAGCTGATGTACCAGAGCAGGTATCACTGTTCTTGGAAATATCGCATGTGGATGGGCTTGCCTGTGCATTAGGTCAACTTTAACAACCATTTGGATTGAATTTGGACATTCATCTCCTAGCTATTTAGATTGCCCATCATTTCACAACAATGGAATCATTACCAAGTTTTGCTTAGTGCTGCTCCTTGAGTGCGACGCGAAGTCTCGATTCTCTTGAAATCTATTTTAGCATGTACTAGCTTCCAAAATATCCCGTCTAGGTGTGGTCAATCGTTCCGATGCACTTTCGCTTCTACCTCCTGCGTACCTTCAGTACAATGATCCAGTTTTTAGTGCTACCATGTTGAAATTGTGCTGAACCGTTTAATATGGTGCAGAACAAAATCTGCACAAGTTTTGCAGACATTCTGAGAATGCCTATCCAGACTTAGTTGTGAAGACATTTTTGAATGTTAACTATAATATTGGCTGGTCGAATGGAGGCACGCCTAATCACACTCAATTGCGTTCGATGTTGCCCTTAATTTGCAGAAACGCCCTCGCTACAGTATGAACGCGACTCCGAGCGCCGGACCCCTCTCTGACCACAGTGCCCTGCGCGAGGAGCTACTTAGTGGAGCTGCTGCCGACTCAGGTGACATGCGTGCTAGTCTGCTGACAAATACCGAGCGTGTGGAGCGTACCGGCCGACGCCTTAACGAAGGTCTTCGCATGGCCTATGAGACCGAAGAGATCGGCGGGCAGATCCTCAACGACCTGGATCAGCAGCGCGAGTCCATTCAGCGCAGCCGCGACCGCGTATATCCTCTTTATCTTTCACTTCTAATGGTAGTTGGTATTTGACACACTTTTCCTATTCTAGCTGAGGCATGCGAACGAAGATTTATCACGTAGCTCTCGGTTGCTCTCAAAAATGTACCGACGGTAAGCAGGTTTACGTCGAAATTATCTTGTTTGATTGAAACTTATTTGGTGACCATGCATTGTTGTGTCCTTCCTCTCGTCAGTAGTGATAATAATTGCAGTTACATTTTTCAACGCTTTCTGCCTTTGAAAACACAAATGGTTAGTGATTCGATGGAAACTGTTTTGCACTGAACCGGCGTTGTGAGTCTTGTCGTGCTAATTCCACTTGTTTGGGTCCGTTTATCACAGTCACCTTGCGATAGCTTTTAGTATTATTATCTCGGTTAAGCCTCCTTTTTTTAGAGAACATGTTTTGTTCCATTTTGCGCTCGTGACTTGCACATTTATTAACCATTTGTTACGCTAGTTACTGCCCTTAATTTTTACCAAATCTTGCAGTTATGCTCCCTGGCTGTTTAGCGCAGATAGTTATGAATACGAAATTGACGAGGCTACTTCAACCATAACACGTTCTTCTTTGTTGTCTGTCATCGAAACGAGAATGTAACTCGAAACCCTGAACGGTGCAAAAATTGTTGCGTGCATAATCGCATTTCTCTTGACCATAGCGTTATCCAGAACCGGGCTATTTTGGCTGCGATCGGTATACTAATGTGTCTTGTCTTCTTTGGCATCATCTACGTGATGTTCTTCCGTGACTCCGCTAAGTCCGCCACCACTCCACTTTCTGACAATTTTCATCCTCCCTTACCCAACCCTAGCAAAAATTCTTCAGAGCCAGTGTAGTACCTCACACCATATTATCTTGCGCCTATCAGGTTCCAACTTGTGACTTTCCCATCGTTGCTTGCCAGCACAGTTGTCAGTATCTGTGATCTCTGCCTCTGTCTACTTGTGTGTTTGTTCGCGAGACCGCTTCCATATTTTATTCCCATCCTCTCATTCACCACAACTAAGCGTACGTGCCGATGTATTTGCAACATTCTTTCTTTGTTATAATATCTTGGAATGGATATCCTTCGGGTTGAGCACCTTGATTTCTGCTATCTTTATCTCCCGACATGGCCGGTCGTTCCTAGTTTCTACTTTCTCCATTGCGTCAAGAGTACCGGAACCTTCCAAGAGCTGGCTGAAAGGCAGGTCGCGCCACAGGATTGCTGACAAATTCCACTTGCATTTCCATCACCATAATAAAGGGATATCTCAAAGTTTTTACAGCCTAATTGGCGTCTATCTTGAACACATGATGCTACAAGGGATGAGGAACCTAGCCCACCCTCAAGAATCTCATGATTTTCCAAATTTTCAGAGTTTTCTAGCTCACACTAGGGATGCTAGTGGCGTTTAGCACTGCGGATATGGCATAACATACCCAAAGGCCACGTATCTGTAATCCATCCACGGTGCAGGTTGGAATATAATCATGAACTGAGAGGAGTTTGTGTGCCGACCTTTGTTTACCATGCTTAATACGCCACGTCTGTCATGTTTGATTGCAAAATTCTCGTCTAAAATTGAACGTGGCGTCACGCGAGGAATATCCAGCCCTTCCGCTAAGTGTTCCAACTAACCTTCAAAATTATCACCGTAAATGGAGCAGCCATCATCTCCACTGCCATAAAGAGTATCTTAAAATTGATATTGAGGAATGAATGTAAGAAATACCTCCTCCCTGTATCCACCCATTGGGTACGACTCTGAAGAATATAGTGTCCAAGTAGTGCATGCGGTAGTTCTCGCAATCGTTTTTAGGTATGATTCCTAGCTCTCCTGTACATAACTTCATAAAATTTGCACAGGTCTTTGGCACAATATCAGAGTAAAGCTTTAATGATTAGAAGCTACTGCATTCGCAAACCTCGAAGAGTAGAGTTCCGCATGAATCGCCCCCAATTGTAATAGCCATAGAAACATAGTTTCGCTGAGACATAGAGGAATTTGTCCTTACATTTCGTTGCATTAGATTTTCCCTGTATAGGTCATAGGCTAACATTTCGTAAAAATTGCGAGGTCTGTAGTTTTGCAGAAAATAATACTCCTTTGCCCAACTATGGAGCTTTACAAAGTTCCCAATTGGCTTGCCATCACAGAAACAAAATACAGCACTATTAAATGCCCAATACTCGCCTTTTAATTCCTGAGTGCAATCATAATAGGATCATGTTTACTCGCTTCTTATTGTGCAAGAACTCCACCCACTCCAGTTCGTACAATGCATCAAACATTGGTTGTTTGAAGACACTAGGAAAGCACTCGTAAAGATCCTATCTTGTGTAAAATAAGGAAAAAATCGAACCTTAGCAAGGTATTGAGCGGCATGAAAGTCCCAACTTCGTACCAAACCAACTATTCTAATTTCCATGGTCGCACATTTGAAAATAGACAATCAAATATAGTTTATGAAGGTGGTTAAGTTAAATGAGCCCAAAACAGCGACTAATATTAATGAAACCAAAACATAGATTCAAGAGGCGACTTTAATTACTTTTATAAAATAATTTACAATTGTTAGTTTCTTTTGTAATCACTTTCAGGCGTCAATCTATCACATGCGCCAATTACACTGACGGTGAATTTTAGACTTGATATGAACGGACTTCAGCACCTCTAATCTGATCCTTAACAGTGCGATAATAATAATATACTGTCCCACGTTCATGCTCAAAACTAGACCCAGTACCCTAAATATTAGGCAGTGCATCAGGACCCACTCTCATATCTTACAGTTGCACAAGCAACTGCACCCCCACTCGTAACTTTTCTGATGCATGAAACTGCTCCCAACGGACCATGCTTAAGATGTTCCACCATATACCGTAGGCCAGTTTCGATGGGCAGTTAAGTCGCATTCCCAAACGACCCAGTCAAGCTAGTCGCGCCTTATAGCCTGTTATGTGCCAATCGAAAGTATCCATGTTTACAGGATTTTGGGCGACTATAGAAGAGATGGGGGTGAAACATCAGTGCACCAATTCCGAGAGCGGATTCATAACCTTAGAGTTACAAATCGCAAGTAGATATGATGCATCAAAGTCCACTTCTGGTCAGTGCTCCAGTTCGGACGAGAATAGAGACATAGGGACAAATGGTAGGAGTCGAGTCCGGTTGCATGCACCACCTTGCACTTGGATGCAGATTTTGAATCAGTTAGCTGAATAGGGCTTAGATCTACATTTGGAGGAAATTAAGGCGATAAATTATGGTATCACCACTTGTGACAATTCTCCTCCAGGCAGCCAACCATTTGTACAGTTTTACAAACGGCGCACACGTTGTCCACGTACGGAGCAAAACTCAATGGTCCAAAATAAATAGTTGACATTAAAGTACTACCCCACCCATGCGAAATTTCAAGACCTGATAACTTGGTGTTGTAGATGGTTTTTAGCGATCCCGTCGTTCACCGAAGTCAAAAGCCATAGGGTTGATAACAGCAGAGCCTAGCTTGGTCCCGGTCACTTAATGATTCTTGGTGTAGTAAATGCCACAAAACGCCCATAAAATAGCAGTCGACTCAATGAAAAAAGGGAAAAGGTCATTCGACAGTTTGACCACAATTGGCAAATTACTTATTTTTATTTCATAATCTCATGGAAGAGGGTAGAAGAAATGACAGAAATTCCAAATATGTAGGGGAAAATCTTGATTTCTTTGCAAACTCCTTTCAAACGTAATCAATGTTAAGGGGTTGAGCCTTAGCAGCCCAATTTTACTTTCGACAGGTGTCAAAGTTTGCGATGAACCACTCGCAGGTATCCATGATAGCTGGAATGTAATGCGCAAACTACTTAGACGAATATTCTAGCGGTAAGACGTTAAAACTGTGATTATGAGCAGCAGCTAAACTGCCTGAGTTTAGGCAAAGTGGCGACTTGCCTTTTCGGAAAGGAGTGAATTGAAAGTTAGGACAGAGGGACATGAGTTTCTGTACTGAGGCTGTCTTCTTGAACTGTCCATCTGCCTTAGATGAGTCAAACTGAAACATAAAGAACAGTTACTAAATTGTTTAATCTTAAAGACAACTGTAAAGCAAATCTCATGTCTGGGCGACTGCACGTTTAAACGACTCTTTTCCTTTCTAACACTATTAACTGTTCATTAAGGCATGTTTTGAAGTAGGCGGCGTGTTAATATACTGTTAGCACCTCCCAACAACAGTAATACTATCTTAAAATTCAAATGAGAAAATGATTTCCTGATTTCAAAATCACTACTCCAACCAGAGTACTTGAACCCATTTCACCTGTAGCCCTTGCAATACGAAATTCGACTTACAGTAAGACCCATGCATCCCATGGCAGAGGCAACGACGGAGGCGGCATCCTTGATAGAAATTTCATCAGCTTCGGGGACGGAGAGAATGATGGGTTCGGGGTGATTGTAATGACGCAAAACCCACACTATCAGGCGACCAAGGTCGACGGAATAGATGAATTGTCGAAGAGGGGTACCCGAACCCAGTACCAACAATGGCTCACCTGCCTCTGTGGCAAGGAAAAAGTAGGCTTACCAATACAATCGAGAAAAAGGATTATAATTAATGCTCTAACAGGTGAATGGCACTCAACATTATAGTTAAAACAGGATCCATGCATTGATAAAGCAGACGGTAGCATTTGCTGCTACCTCCTCGGACTTGAACGAGGTCGATGGGATCAGAAAAAAATCGGGTGAAAAACATTAGTAATTTCATCTACAGCATAAAATATGATGAAAAAAATGGAAAATTTAACAATGGAATTTCGGGTATCAGACTAGCTTCCGTCAATGTTGGATGATAACTGCAATTCCGAGCCATGCTTGATCAAGAAAAAAATGAGTAGGAGGAGGTGCGAATGTTGAAGCCACTTGAAGGAGACCGAACTTACCAGTAAGGTAGTACAGACATTTGTAAAAGGATATAGAGCAAATGTCTAAAGGAAGCCACTGCAATGAAACGAGACTTACTTTTGGCAAGGTACGCCTTGTGGATAAGAGCGGGAAGAACATGGCCCTTTTCTAAATTGAAGTTGTCGTAAGGACCAAATACGTTTGTGGGGATGATGGACGTATACACTGTCCCACACTTCTCCGTATAGGCACTAAAAATGTCGGCAAAAGGACAAGTTAGATGTCAAATGCGAGAACTTCCGGCCATTCGCAGTTGGCGAATTGGTTATTTGCGTCCTCCATAAACAAAACTAAATCGATGCTCATTCTATCTGTTTCACCAAGCGTATTGCCAATTCTAAGTACGACACGAAAAGGCTACAAAACTTGAGGACAATAATCAGAAGAATCGGTATTATATATGTAGAAGAGTAACAGCGGACTTATGATACCATCCCTCGCATCTGATAAAACACCAGGGAAGGTGCCATCGAGCAAAGCGAAGGTATACAAAATAAAGTTCTGATTCCGTATGCAATAGAAGGAAAGCTGTTCAAGATTAAATTGTCCCATTTTCAAAGAGGAAGTATCTTTAATTTTTATAGACTAGTAAGAGAACTGAGAAACCTCACACAGTTCTACTAATCCCAAATAATCTACAATCATCTCCCAGAAAAGTGCTTTCAATGTATAAAAGTAGCTATGATAATCAGATAGATTTCTTACATCTATTTGCATATAAACTGCATTCCATATGCGGCTCAAAATGAATGCGCACAATTATCAGGTTGGTGAAACGAGGGGGACCTATTAAGAAAATGATAGCCTAACTAGCAAAGCTGAACAGTAACTCCATTAGTTCCATCACCAATAAAGTTGGTACCTGAATTATTTAAACGTAGAAATGACAGCACCAGTAAAAGAAGCGAGGAGAAGATGGATAGGAGGGAATTTACTCACTGATTGAGCACGTCAATCATGCGCTTTGCGTAAGCATAGCCGTAATTTGAGAAGTGAGGTGGCCCATTGTGCACCATGGTTTCGTCGATTGGGTAATTTGTATTGTCAGGAAATATGCAAGTTGAGAGACAGGAGATGGTCTTTTGCACACAAAACTTCAAACACGCCTCCAAAAGATTGTCGTTAATTTGCATATTTGTTCTCTGCAGATAGGTGTAGGTATAGACACAATGTAAACAACTACCAGTGAACTTCGCTGGACTGATAATATCGAAATTTTGTAGGCAGAATAAAGAGGATAAGCACACGAAGAAATCGAAATCGCCATTTGAATTCATGTAGCACTCACGAAAAAACCAAGATTATCATCCATATTAGCGAAGAGTCCACCAACTCTAGCTGCCAGATGGATGACATGCGTAGGCCGGACATTCGCAAAGTATGATAGAGTCTCCGTACCGTTGCAGAGATTGATATCCTTTGAGGATGCAAATATCCATGTCTCACCAGGTTCTTTCAAATTATAAGTTTCCAATGCCAGCCGTATTCCCTGACCGACCAGACCTGAGCCACCGGTCACAAGAATCACCTTCATATCACCGCCCATGTTCTTTTCAGATGTAATTATAATCGTAGATTTAGAGCCATCACTCAAACTTATGTAACAATTAAGGATATGAAACCATTAAACGTTCCTATCTAAGTTACGGAAGGCGTACAAAGAGCCAATAGATCAAAGCTGAGTGTTAAAAGAAGCTGACAACCAACTAAATCCGCATAGTAAATACTGGAAACGAGCCGACCAGCTAAACCACGGAGACAGATCATATAACGATTCATTGAAAATCAAATACAATTTGGCCATAGCTGGTTATATCAAAAAGTCAAGCCGAGGAACAGAAATGGGCCCAGCGCAACCATGCACGCTTGAGCGACAACCGCGCTAACCACCTGCGCAATAGATACACGATTAGTGACTTTCATTGCGCCCTATGGTATAAGGACAAACAAAACATCAGACAATTTGCGTAAATGAGGACGTTTGCATAACTTATCATAAGTGGAAAGCTACTATTAAATTGTGCAATGGAGATACAGGGATTGTTTTGAAATTTAATAATGACGACTAAAAGTGTCTGTTTTATGTGTGGACTTGTACTGAAAGAGATGACTTTGTTTACTAATCTGCACATACTTTCTGAAGTTTATTGTAAAGCACATTAAAATCTGCTTATCTATCAAGTACGCTAAAATGGTAAGCTTGGAGGCGTATAATAAACTACTTTTTCGTAGATTGTTACATAATAATTTGGCTTGCTAACACCTTCATAAATATTTTCAGGAATCTCTTGTTAATGAATATGCAACAGCAGCCCTGTTTTGCGCTGCTCGGTGCGTGCCATTCGTGGCTCTCCTTGGAGCACACTAGATAGCGTCGTTGTGTTGGCGTAATGGGGAAATCTTCACGTGACAAACGCGACATATTTTATCGACTGGCAAAAGAAGAGGGTTGGAGGGCTAGAAGTGCTTATAAGCTTCTGCAAATTGACGATGAGTTCAAAATTCTTTCTAAAGACCGTGAGTTCTTGTGGCAGTGCCTTTCAGTAATTTGACGAGAACAGATGATTTTTGTCTGCTGTATGCGCCTTTTTAGTTGAAGTTCTTTTTGAACGCAGACAATGGAAACCCTCTCACTCGTGTCGTGGATCTCTGTGCGGCGCCTGGTAGTTGGTCGCAAGTTCTATCCAAGAAGTTGTGGGAGCCTTGCGCAGAGGCAGATCGTCAGAAAGTAAAAATAGTTGCCGTCGACTTACAAGCTATGGCTCCCATTCCTGGAGTCATTCAGCTCCAAGGTGATATCACTAGTCGCCAGACTGCTGACCAAGTCATTCAACAATTTGAGGGGGAGAAGGCACAACTCGTAGTTTGTGACGGTGCACCCGATGGCACGTTATCGAATTAGGACTTTATTCTGTCGTTTATGTTTATGCTCTTGTTCTATTCAAAATGTACCGGCTTACTGCCACAACTTATCACTCCCACTTAAATAGGTGTTTCTAATGCTACGGTTATCATTTTGTTTCGATATGATTTAGACAACCGTTGCGTCTGATCATACTATAGACTTCAGACTTTTCCCATATCATTATTAGCATAAGGATGATTTCCGCCTTACATTTCGTATTCCATCATATTTTCGATCCACTGATGGTCTTAATCGTCTCGTATTCTGTATTTTCCATCATTCTCTCATGCTTATTTTGCAATTTCAGGGACCGCCTGTAATCTATTATTGAGAATGATTGGATGTGTTCATTTCTACTTCATATATCCTCTTCTCTAGTTACTGGACTTCATGACCTCGACGAGTATGTTCAGTCGCATCTGGTGCTTGCTGCCTTGACTATCTGCGCACGCATCCTCGAAAACGGGGGAACTTTCGTGGCCAAAGTCTTCCGTGGTCGTGAAGCCGGTCTTCTCGGAGCCCAATTGCGTTGTCTCTTTGCTGGTGATGTGGTATTTGCCAAGCCCAGTTCCAGTCGAAACTCCAGCCTTGAGTCTTTCGTTGTCTGTCGTGAATTTCGCGGTGACACAGTTCTTCCTTCCTCCTTGACCAGTACTAGTTTAATGGATCACAAATCTGGTGATGACTCAGGCGATTCCCTTATGGGCTGGCTAAGTGGATTGGACCAGGTTGGTAGTCATAACGTGGGCAATGTTTGTTTGGACTGTGCGCTTATTATTATTCCTTCTTCAGCTCACTCCTGAACAACGCATCCTTCTACCCTTTGTGGCTTGTGGTGATCTCTCCGGCTATGATGCAGACTCTTGCTACGAACTAGGTGACAACTACACTTTACTTGAGCCTGTCCAGCCTCCCCTTTCGGCCGCCTATCAAGACAACTGTCGACAGGCCCGCATTGTTACTCCTGGCAATATGAAGCAGAGGGACAACAGGAAGGTGGATGAGATTCTCTCCCAACAAATGAAGGAGATGCAGTTCAGCTGAACCGGATTTTGTACATTAAATAATACAACCACTTCGTCTGATGCACCCTTTTTGTCTCTCGAATGATTGTGCTATTTTTAAGACCATTATTTTGTTAAATGGTACGAGTGTCGTTCGTGGCATTTTTTCGCAGTTTGGCAGTTGGCGGGTTGCAGTGTATGTGCTGGGTTCTTAGTTCTCTCAGACGATGACTAACAGTCATTTTTTTGCTAGTTTACATCTAGTCATTTGTGCTACAGGGTCTCAACACCACTAATTAATTTCCTGAGTTTTTTCTTACATATTTGTCATTACATAGTTGTTAAGGCGTGGAACCATTTGGACCTTTACAACGCGGAAATTGGATATCACTTACCTTCTATCAAACTATAACTTCTTGCTCAACGCAAGTTTGCTCTTAATCCATTGATAGAGGGCGTCGCTGTTAACAGTGATCGTAGTAAAACTCGAATTTAGGATAGGTTCTTTCAAGAGCGCCTTTACTGGTACTTAGTCGCGTGTCTAGATTGGTTGAATCCAAAAGAACACTGACAGTTTTCTTAATTCGCTTCCTCTTTGAGGACAAAAAATCCTAGATATTGGGCACACAAACTCCCTGGCTCAGTCATTTAATACCCATTCCTTCCTTTAATAACAGGAGACTAAAGAGACTGCTAGCGGAAAAGATGTAGAGCAAGCAGAGCTGGAGACACTGCAGCCGTCGTGTCGAGAGCGTCGGTGGTTCCACGGAATAGCTCTTTTCTACCTTCTTTTCGCAGCATTGTTTGGTCTGCCGGTTTGGTGGCTCACTACCTCCCCCGAACAGTTCGCTCTCCCTGCTCAACGCATTGAAGCCCTGGCGAGGCAGGCCATCACCGTTGGCGTAGACGTGAGTCTTGCTCTTTTTGTGATGGTGAGATTTCATGGATGGTCATTTACAATTCGTCGATTTTTTTGCCATCATTATGGACTTTCATGCGACCTGGATTATTTTTTTTTCTGTTGACTGTGGTATCATTACTGAGTTCTCAGCCCTGTATTTTAGTGAGGCTTATTGCAAGATGATTTTTTTTCGAAAAGTGCTCATTACTAGTTTTGATATCGATCTTGACGAAGAGTAAAGCCTTACCTGTTTCCATATTTATATCTTCATTAACCAACATTTCGGTTGAGCAATAGCATCAGGGTGACATTTTTATTAAGGGACTTAACCCTTTACGATGTGATCTTTACGCCCTGTCTTAGTGAACGATCCTTTGGTCTCTAGCTTGTTTTCTGATGCGCTTCTCAGACTTGATTTGCACAGGTAGTTGTTGTAAATCTGGACTCGGAGATAACGGCGGAGGACCTTGAAAATCTGAAGCAATCGCTTTATTTTGATGCTGCTGACGCTCAACGTGGTTTGGACGCTCAGCATCAGAGTGTAATGGGCTTTAGTAATGGCGAGACTGAGACCCGACGTTATGCTGGTTTGCCTGTTCGCGTGGATTATCGCTTCTACACCACCATGACCTCTGTGCCCTCCGATGTCACATCGTGCCTAGGGCATGGCATCTCCTCTGAGCTGGATCGCGCTTTGTTAAACTCTAGTCTCCCTATCTCTCTGGCTGCCGGCAATGCATTCGCTGTCAAACACAAGTAGGTATTGTCTTTTCTCTTCTTGCCAATTTTATCTTTTAGGTAAGGGAATGTAGAGAATTGCAGCGCATTGATTTCTTGATAATTTATTTTGATGGTTTGATAGAATAGAATAAAATGAAGTGTAATCTTCTTTCGGTACTCTTAAAGTCTCGTTTGACCACTTAAGCTTTGATAAAGTTGATATGTTCATATCATTTCAAACTGCATGTAGAAATGGCCTCGATTCCTGGTAATTCTAGGTTGGAGAACATTGCTACGCCATCATCTTCAGCCCTTCAATAGTTCATCGAGTGCAAGTCTTATGCATATGATATTCATTAGCTCCATTAACAGTATTGCTTCAAGTTATAAGTATATTCTACCTTAAGCTCTTGCGTCGCACATATATGAGAATTTCAATTAAAAAGAGACAATTTGTTTCATTTTTTCCGATCTACTTTATTCCACACTTACGCGACAGCTCATCTGGAATGTGGCGTTTGTTCTCTTTAGGCTTGGTTGCAAATGCATTGGAGCAGTTTCTCAATCATTTACTTTTTACTGCAAAACCGTCAATCTGCTTAACTTTAACCTCTAAGCTGCGTTGAGACATGATTGGAGCAAAATCCGTTAGATAATATGTTTATGAGCACACTTATTGTGTTCATTGTAGCAGTCTTAGCCAACAGTGGTGATGGATTTCATTTAAAGGAAAAAAGATTGGATTGGTTTTGTGTTTACTCCTCCATTAAACTGATCCTTAAACTACTAGTGCAATGCTCCACTAGCACGGAGGCAAAAACAACACTAGGGTTAATAGGACGGTCGGATAGTAGATGAGTGTACTTTCCTATTTGCAGCGTCGAGAACGCCTACTACTTTATAATCCTGCCTGTGGATGTGCGCGGTTTTGAGGTGGATGGTGAACCCAAGGTTGATAGTGCGTTCGCTGCAGTTGTTCGTGCCTCCCTCGACAGGAACCTCATATATATTCGCTCACCCGGTGTTGGTGGGGTGTACCATAATCTCTCCTCCGTCATTCTTTCTCTTCTTCAGGAACACTTGGTATTGCCCGCCACTCTGCAGGTACATCCTTCTCTCCTGTCCATTTACAACTCATTAATTTAGCATTCATTGATTAATGTACTCCATTGTGGCTGATGGCACTGGGACAAACACCGAAATTGAAAGTGAATTAGCTTACTATACCTCTCCATCTGTCTTCCTCTCACAAATAAGCTTTGTTCTGAGATGATAGCTACTGATATTTAGTTCAGTACCGTGATCAAAAGCGGTCTGTTTGATTTGGTTATAGTATTGTAAATGCTATACTCTAGGTCCTCTTAAATTTCGTGTCATTTCCTCAGTTGTGATTTTAGTACCTCTGTCAAATATTCGCCATAACCAAGCCTAAAATAGTCCTATACATGTGTTGAATTACGCAACTATTGTGAAGGTGTTGAGAATGACATGAAAAGTAAACAGAAGCTGATTTAATTCATTTGTGCATTAGTGTGTCACTGGCATCTAATGTAGTTGTGAAGAAATGGATTCCGTGGCCGATAAATGTTCTGAAAGTTAGAGGTATCATGATCATGCAACAAGGAATGCAAGTTCATGCACTGCGCACACTAACCTACTATCTTGGTTGACTAGCTTGGAGGTGGTGTTCTACACTTGAGATGCTTGCTATTGTACATTGTGACCCTAGTTAATCGAATTTATTGCCTCTTTTTTATTCATAAACATCGTCTATCCTCAAGGTGCTTTACTGCCTTCGTCATCATTGAACTTAAAAGTCGTTAAGAGTAAACCATGAAGAAGAGGTGAGACAGTATACTTTTACGGTACTTCAAGCAGGCGCGTGGTCCCGTGAAAACCAGTGCATTCTACACCGCGAAACCGAATCAGCATTTACCATTACGTCTGAACTAGACCCAGGAAGTTTACAATTAACTACTACGGACTGGTAGTCCTGGTAATAATCTCTCAAATATTTCTGTTTTAAGACTAAAACGGGCAGTTATCAAACCTGCTGAAGAGTACTTTCGCCGTAGTCATTATCATTTTTCTATTTTCGATGTCTTCAATGTTTGGTATCCACAGCCCGATTCCAATACTTAGTTGATGTATTCTTGCGACTGGACATTTAACCAAACTATACCTGACTAACCATCGGAGAAGGAGTACAATTTTGAGTAGTACAGGTAATTTGTCCACATGGAACCGAATAGGCAAACAGCGGAAATACTTATTAAACACGCTAATCTCCCTTTCCATCTGTCGGTGGTGTCTCCCTTGTTTGCATTTCCTATTGACGACGTGGTGGTATATGCAGTGGCGAACAATATTTTCTGCGTCTCAGCCGCATAATTGACGAAGGTGTTCAACAAGTGCTCCATTATCTGTAGTATGGGCTGAAAAGATACACAATTACAGACCAAGCTGTTTATACCTGCTTTCTGGGACGGTATCCCTTGGCAGGCGATATACGCGTCGGTGTGGTGGAAGGGCGGTGACGCTGATCCGCTGCAGGCGATGGAGGGCAGCGGAGGGCATGCAGTTACTGAATATGAAACTGCGATGGCTGAAGTGGCACATGTGCGCACCCACCAGTTACCTGCAACGCCAGGCTACGAGGTGACCCTGAGTCTAGTGGGTGCCTTTGACTCCACTCCACCCTGTCTGCCTTCTACCGACGATTGGTTGTGGAGTGTTTGTGATACTCCCTCCAACGGCCTCAGCTTTGGTGATTGGCTGCTTCGCTCCGTTGAACCTGGACTGGCTGATCTCAGGCAGTTCATCAATCTGAAGCTCTATTCGCAATACCTTTACTCCGTGACGCTCGATGGACTTGCTTGGAGGTATGTAATGAAATTTTTTAGAAGGGTTAGCATTAATAATTTTTCAGATTTCTGAATTTCTTTTTCGTTGAATTTATATCTTCCTGATGCCTCATTTTGCTTATGTAAAGGTTGGGCATCAGTAAGTGCTTTGCTGAATTTGTCGTTGCTCAATGCTTTACTTGTTGACTATGGTTAAATTTGGTTGTTTCCAAAGCTGTTCCCCTTATTTAGCCACTTTGACTTACAGATACTTTTATTCAAGTTGAACGGCTCTATAGTCACCTTAGTCGGTTACTTGATACGTGCATGTAGTCTTTTTTCAGCAGCGAACTGGAATGCATACTCCTATGCAGCCTTATCATTTTAAGTGAAAATTACTGTGTCGTTTCCGGTCTTGGACAGAAATTTTTCAAAAAGATTTTTAACCTGATCGTGACGTGAATATGTCCTTTGCTAGATCTGTATTAAAAGTGCTTAAGGTACTTAGAATTTCCGCTAATTTCGATGTCTTTGAATGTTTATACTGGATTATGCTAGATTTTAGCAGTTTTTTATCGCTTCATCTTAGAATCTGTTTTGTGTTGACACAAATAGATAATTTGCTAGAGGAAATTTTAATTTTTTTTTCTTCCAGAGTAATGATGCATTAATTTTTTTACGCGTTTCGACCTGTCAATGGAGTATTGCATGTACGACGCCTCCGTTTTTTGCCTTAGTTAAACTTCACTCAACGATGGCTCATAAGAGAATTGCTTACTGATAGAGGCTGAGTGTGGACGCCATGCACAGTTTATAGCATTTACATGATGACTGCAAATCAACTAACTTACAAAATGCATCTTCATTATTTACCTAAAACATAAGTTTTTATTATCGATAGTCTGTGTTGTTTTGCGCAGTTAAAGTACCTACTTCAGGTGACTATTCGAACGCAGTAGGGACGTCGCTGTCTTTCACACATTTTTTTCTAGTCGACTGTCAAAAGATCGGACACACAGGTACTACACGGCATCTCAGCTTTCCAGCGTGCTTAACTCTCTTGAGGCCTACCTGGGTCAGCACGCTTCGAGGCGCAGCCAGTCAGGCAGCCATGTGGAGGACAGTCACACTGGCGGCACACACGGTGGTCTCCACCTCGTTATTGTTGTAGACAATCCAAGCCGCGACTTCAACGCCTCACTCCGTCGTCCCTTGCGCTTCCATCTTTTTGCTTCCAACTCCAGTGCTGCCGCCTCCAGTATCGCCCTTATGCCACAATGGGGAGCTTTCATCTCTCTTGATGACGTTAACGTCAGTCTTTCCAACCTCGGTGCGGTGGTGATCAACACCATACGTTCCTTTGTTGGTATCTCTGTTCGAAGTCGGACTTTTTTCACTTTGAGGAAGAGTGAGCAATGCGTTCTGTTAGAGGGCAGTTCGGTGAGTGGGAAGATCATCAAATGGGAGGTAAGATGTACCAACACTCGTAAAATGTTTCCACTTTTCTCCACCAAAAGCATGCTTTCAACTGTAGTTTGACTCATGGTTGCGTCGGCGAACGATAGAGAGTCTTTCGATGACTGCACTGACGTTGACTTCACTGGTAAGCATGGTAGAGCGAGTTCCTACGATGGTGATCAACTCTCATGTGGCGGGACGTGTGGAACACGCGGTAGCAGCGTGGGCACAAGCGTTGGAGGAACTGGCAAGTCCTCCCTCCACGAAATCGACCAACGCCGGTTCCATGGCATTCGCGGCTGCCCGAATAGCTCTGGAAAATGCCGACGCAGGGTTTTTCGACCATAGTCTTCTCGACTTACTCTATTTTCCTGTAAGTCGTCTGATCTATTCAGATACGTTGCGCTTAAACTAATCTCCATTTTCATGTACTGCTGCTGTACTCTAGTCCGATCAGGTGTTCGGCATTTATGTGCCGCTGTTCGCGCCTATAGGACTACCACTTGTGGCCTCGGGAGTTGCTGCTGTGAAGTTTTTTTTAAAGAAGGATCGCCAAGCTCTGCAGAAATGAATAAACGAGTCTTGTCTCCTGGTTGTATCCTCAGGCTTTTATTACTACTAACTTTCAATTCCTTTCAAAACATGTCTTTTTTCCATGGAGACTTTGATTATCGGACTGAATAGTGTTACTTCTTCCTAAGGATTTATAAAGTTTATTCGTACAGTAAGTTATAGCAGCCCTTGTTTCTGAATACTGAGTTTCTGTATTGTTTTCTTTATTGCAGGGGTGTTGTCAAATGAGAATGTTAAGGCAGTGTGTTGCACTTGCATATTCGCTGATTTAGTCAAGCTGTTGGGCACGAGACTTCGAGGCTGTTTGTAGACAAGTCGGTACCGCCATGTGCCAGCATGGGAACACATCGCCGTGCCTCTTCAGTTAGTGTCTAAGTGGTGACATGACTCTTGGAGGCTATTCACCACTTGCGCTGTGCTCTGAGCCAAGCCTACCATAATGCTAACGTATTAGCTGCCTTGTGCGTCCAAGATGCCGCTGTGTCAACACGGCGTATTCTTCAGGCGTTCATTGACTTTCCACGGGAGGTTCCCAGCTTCCGTCGGGACCCCGAGAGCTTCTTCATGTAACTGCGTCGTGAACCAGTTTGGTTGAGTGAAATACTTCTTGCCAGCTGTTCAGATTAACGTGGTGGTAAACGCAGGAATGTATGGGAGAATTAAGGGTAGGCGCGGAATGAGGCCAGATTCTGGGAATCAGTTGAGCTTCTTACTCCGATGGCGGGGTCTCCTCTCAGTGTGCCGCCTTTGATCATAATATGGCCTAGTTACAAGGGGTAACGAAAGTCAGCTCGGCGTCACAAGACTTCAATTATTAATTACATGCAATCATACCTACAACGATTAAAATATTTTTGTAGGAAAAAATTAATTAATACTAAAAAAAGAGAAGAACGCAAACAACTTTGTGATGTTTAAATTACTCCTCGCATTGTTATAACTTACCAAAGTGTCAACAACACATACACAGGGCACACTGTTTGGATTTGATCCTATGGGCGTGTAAATAGCGTCGTCTCTCTGTTGCATTTTGGCTAGTGTTATGGCGGAGGTTTTGTATTCAAAGAGTTCAATGAAAAGTGAAATGTTCGATGATAGTGAGTCAAATATTAAAGCGGACTTTTTCGATGGCAAAATTGAGGAGCTTCCTACGGATAACTCTGACATATTCTTCGGTTCTGAGTCCTCGGAGTTTTTCCCCGGAAGTGATCCGTATGGCGATCTTTTTCTAATGGATCCTAATGATCTTCTGGGCGTCCGTGAGGAAGTTGTTGGGAATGAACCTTCAAAGAGTTCGGAAGAAATTCCTGTCCCTGGATTGCCTCCTAGTGGCGAAATCACTCTCCCTCCTCGTCGGGATTTTAGGCGAAGGAGGATGAAACAGAAGCAGCTATGTAAAGGGAATCAAAGTACGGAAGACCGCGATAGCTCTGATATAGAGGACTTCTCTATTCCCATAACTCCCAACCAGCAGTCTTTTGAACCCGAGCCTTTTCCCGTACAGGGTCGTGTTGATTGTCAGATGCGCTCCTCGATCTCTGTCGCTGATGGCGTCCGTCCAAAATTTGTTAAATTCAATCCGGCCGTTCCCTCAAATGGTGTAGGAGTAGCACAGAACGGCGTTGTCACCACTCACAGGATCCTGGCATTCAAGCGAAAGGCAGATTATGGACGTCAACTTCTTCCCCGTGGTGGGTGTCTTATTTAACCGTTTTATTGCTTGGTTCCTTTTTTGCTAGCCTTAATTCTGCAGTTTTTTGATCGGGTCTCCCCACGCCATCTACAAGGAAATACTTCGAACTTGCATCGTGTCAAACTTCGTGTTAGTGTTCAAGTCTTACGCGTATGTTCTTCGTTGTTTCGCCCCTCAATAGGTCAGAGCCAGTCTGTGAGTTCGAGCTCAAATGTTGTTGCGATGACTGTTGCGACGCTGAAGCGACGAGGTACTGCGGGTTTGTTTGGCACTTCGCTCCCTGAGTATGGCGATGTGTCTTTCCCTGGTTCAAGTCACCAAGCCTTGCAGGCTTCCCAACAGGGTCGGACAGTGGCTTGCCCCCATAAAAACTGCGGGAAATTGTTTCGCGATAATTCTGCGATGCGGAAACACCTACACACCCACGGTCCTAGGGTGCACGTCTGCGCGGAGTGCGGTAAGGCTTTTGTGGAGTCCAGCAAGCTCAAGAGGCATCAGCTGGTGCACACAGGGGAAAAGCCCTTCCAGTGTGCATTCGAGGTTTGTCCTCATGCTAAAATTGGTTTTGCCTCATGCATTTGCTTGCTCATTTGCGTTTTGTGCAATCTTTTACTTGATCACTCTTAGTGTTTGATGGCACAGGTTGCTTATGCGGATGTTTTCATTTTTGTGAGCTGTGAAGTTTATTAGGCGTCACTTTGCAGGGTTGTGGGAAGCGATTTTCCTTGGATTTTAATCTGCGTACACATTATCGGATTCATACTGGCGACCGCCCATACCTCTGTCCTGTTGAGGGTTGCAGCAAGCGTTTTGCTCAATCTACCAATCTCAAATCACACCTCTCTACTCACACCAAAGTCCGATTTCGGTAATTTTGCACTTTCTTGCAAATGTTCTGATTTCTTCATGCCTATAGGTTTTTGCGTATAGCGCCGTGCCAAAACTGAAGGCGTAAGTATTATCTATTTTTAGGCAGTGGTTTAAGTAGATGAAAGGGAGTAGCACCGTCGCATGCCACTTTTGAACTCACACGCCTACTTTGATAAAAGTACTTCCGATAATGGTAATGCATTATCATTACTATTTGAGAGTGTCTAAGTAGCAATTACCCTACTTGTTCTTGTTATTATCAAGTTCTCATGTTTCACTTGGCCTCCTTTAAAGTCTCGACCCCTTGAGTCGTTCCCGGCGCGGTGATAGTTAACATCCACAAACAGCTTTTTTATAAGCTCTTCGGAGTTATTTTGAGATTTTTAGAGCCGCTGTGGCAGCAGATCTACCATCTTTCCTCGAACAAGGCTGTACTACACCAAATTTAGTAGTGTTGAGTTTTGAAGAAAACGCCTTCCCTTTGTATATAACTGGACTACGCCGCGATTTTTCTTTTTTGAATCGGAAGATCTTTGATGTTCCTTGAATTCAGAGGAAGGGGGGCGCAGAATAAAGTTGAACTCTTCCTTTTAGGGGTCGGGGGTATGTTCCACAGTCATCTGCGTCTGCCTATCTGGCAGCATCCAACAGCGGCTACGATTCTGACTATGCGGCTTTCCCCTCAATTCAACACTCCCCGCATCAAAACCAACAGCATCATCGTTCACTTATGTTGTCATCATCTATCAGTTCCTCAACTCGCCTTCCAGACGGTGGGATTATTGCCGCCAGACATCCCAGCCTATCCTCTCCTTTCGTAATTGGTACAACACCCAATTTGGCGGAAGGAGATGAGAATGAAGAGCATTCCACGGGTCTCATGATTGATGAGCCACCCTCTTCCTCGTCTTCTCCGCCCCGACGCCGAGTTCACACTGCTGGTCTTAGATCTGGCGGTGGCAGTAGCAGCACCGGTGGTAAAATTAAGGTGTCTAGTGATCTCTTGAGCGACTCAAACTCCTTCCTGTAAAAATGGTCCTTTTCTCTCGCTTCCTGTTTCAATCAAACATTATGCTGCGACGCGCCCAGACTACTTATTACCGCATTCCAGTGGTCGGTGATAGCTTCTACGTTGGCAGCAGCCGTGAATGAAGGCCATTAACGGCTTTGGCTATTGAAATGCAGTATAGCCCAATGACTCGAATGCGTATTTTATACTCTGCATGTATTTCCTCCCTCCCTTTTTTCCTTCATCGGCATCGATGCTGCCGGCATTGGCACAGTAGGGTTATCAAAAATCTACAGACTTGATCATGTAACAGTTAATACCACAGTATGTCTATGTATTTTTACATTTTTACCTCCTGAAATCTATCATCGAAGGCGTCTTCCATGTGTTACAGAGCACTGGTGTGCATAATCTGGGTGCTCCAATTTTGGCAGTTTGAGGCCTTTGCAACCGGTTGTGGGGCAGTTTAGCTTAGATGCCACTCCCTCGAGGTCTCGTGAAACTAGTCGCCTAGCTCTGAGTGTTAATTGTTGTGATCCGGCTATCTTTGTTTGTGTAGTCTACGTAACTTTTTACAAACATGATCGGGGTGGTGTGCTTCGAAGGTCAGGCGGTGTGGATAGAAACTACTTAAATCAACTAACAAATTCCAGGTAACATGAACAACTGAGTCGTGGCACTTTGTTCGCTTGACTACTGTGCGACCGGCAGTCGCCTTGATATTTGTATTGCTCTTGTTTGCGTGGATTGACAAGCGAGCTAGGCAGAGGTTCCCCCTCCTTTCCCTCAAATACACCTATTTAGCCTTTGTTAAGGCCTGTAGCATCCTAGACTTCCCATCAGGAAGAAAGACATTAAGTTGGGCTGAATACATGCGCTCTAGGGAGAAAAATGAGGTTAAGCTAGATCCCGCCCCAAAGGTCAGCCTACGAGTACAAGGGCCAGACAAATACCAGTGTAACCGTCATGCATCGGGTGGCTACATGAACAAAGTATTACAATGCCTTCTTCCACCAAAATGGAAATCTCGAGATTTTACATCGATATCATATTTGGGGTGTTACTTAAAAACATGAGGCATACCGCATTCCTCCACAATTTAAGCGATACAGTCTCTCTTATTTGTGATGAACCATTTGGTCTCACGAATAAACTTGTGGTGTAGTCATCAATTAGTTTTAACACAGCCATTGTTAAATAAAACAATAACTTACTTACTTTAACGAACTAAAATTTATGCAAAATAGCTTTTAATGAGTGCCTGTAATGTCTCTGATATATACAAATATATGTTTGGTTTCACTAGTTTAACACCGTCATTTAAGTTGAACTAATTCAAGAAAAAAATAGCCGTTCGGTGTTTTCGCGCAGTGAGCGTCATAATGATAGTTTTTTCGATTTAAGCAAGAGTCTTTAAAAATGGTAAAGTGTTTTGAAAAGTGTTACATAACATACATAGAAAAAGGAGCTTATTACTTTTCATATCGGTCAATGCGGCGTACAAAGTGGCGTTCATTTTTGGGAACAGCTCATCTATGAACATGATATAAGCCCTGACGGTTATTCTGAAATAAAATATATGAACTCTGAGGAAATGCTCGAACCATTTGGTTTTTTTAATGTGATGAGAGACGGTCGCTATGTACCGCGAACTATTTTTGTCGACACGGATCCAACGACTGTCGGTAAGTTTAAGGTCCTTCATTTATTAATCGAGGTTACGAAACTTGCTTTCTATAAACCTGTGGAAATAAAAGGCTATGCAGCTGTAAAACACTGAGAAAATTATGACACGAAACATCTGGTGGTCAATACCATTTACAAAACTAACATTTTGCGGAAATCTCAAGGCACTTTGCTATGGCAAATATTTCGCGTAAAATCTTCGCGGACTATGTTGTTAATTTCTACGTTATTTATGTTGCACTGACCTTACGAAAGCCGAATTAGGTATAGGTATTTTGCATTTTTAACGTTTATGCCCCGATAGCATGTATACTATTTTAACTTTCGGAATTTCAATACGAGCTCCTTTTTCTTATTTCAAAATTAATTTTCCAAGTTACGGTTGTGATCATCCTATTAACTGACCATAAAGACAGATTATACTCTTCAAAATACCCACCTTATTTTGAGGTTTTTACGTTTGAATTTAGAAATTCGCCTGATTTCTTAGTTAACTCAATTTTTTCAATTAACAGAGCTTTTGGTAGATTAACTGGATGTGTGTTGTTTTTAATGCCCAAAGCTATCGACGTCCTTCATTTACAATTGCTGCTGACGGATGATATATGGCTTTTACTATGCTAAACAATCTGCGATATAGTGTAAAAATTTTAAAAATAGATGTAAATACCTGTAGCCACATTATAAGCATCTCGTGTCGACAGCCGCTATGCGCTTTCTGAGCGGCCAACATCTTTGTGCTGGTTTTAAGTCTTAAAGACAATTTTCGGTGAAATTTTTGCGCATTTAGAGGAAGCAAGGCATGCTTTGCTCAGAAGTCTCTTTAATCCGCGTTGCTTCTTTAATGGAAAGGAGGAAGCGGCGAGTAACTATGCTCGGGGACGTTTTATACTTGGTGCTGATCTGATTGAGCCTATTATTGACCGCATTCGACAGGAAGTTGAAGCCACTGACAACTGCCAAGGCTTTATCGTTAATCATAGCATCGGCGGTGGCACTGGTTCCGGTCTAACAGTCCGCATCATGGAGCACCTCACCAACGAATACTGCAAAGCTATTAGCATTCAGGTTCCATCGTATTTATACCTACTTCAATTATGACTGGTGTAGTAGACTTACGAAATTCATTTTTGTAGTGTGTGCTTTGTTGCCAACCATAATCATATTCGTCTTTCCTTTCATCTTTCACCAATTCGAATGACGGTGGTGCGGCTTGCACGTCAGTTAGGCAAGGTGTTCTCCCTGATTAACTTTTTCCTAAAGGTCATTAAGTATGCACCTCCGCTTCTAAAGTTACTCAGATGTTTTTCATATGACTTGGTATGCATGCTATTGGTCATAAAATGCAAATTAATTGTTTATCAAATTACTAATAACGCAATGATTATAACCTCACCTCGACTAACTGAGTGAGATTCTCCTCCACAACACAAAACTAATTGTTTACATTTATGAGGAGTCAAAATACTTGAACTCTCACATTCACTTGTGCACTATAGTGCAGAACACGATTCTATTCTAAATGAGGTCCTGGTTCCTTTAGTGTTGTTTAGTTTATAATCCACATCCTCATTCCTCAAGCATGAGGTTTAGCATACTTATGGGCATGGGTCTTAAATAATTGTGAACGAATATTTACTGGGCTTTTGTGAAGTCCGCAAACAGTAATGATGATCTGTTTAAAGTACTGGCACTGTGCTAAATCACAATTTTTCGTCATTTCTAAAAATTTGCAGCGCAAATTGGTTGTCTGGTAAAAATAAAAAAAACTTATTGCTTACTGAGCGTATTACTTGTTATAGTTCCCAATATTTCCATCAGAATACCTATCGACCACTGTAGTCGACCCCTACAATGCCGTCTTGCATTGCGGTTTCAATGTTTCCAACAGCAATATGACGGTTATGATGGATAACTCTGCGATAATGGGGCTTCTTTCTCGTCACCTCCAAATCGAGAAGCCTACAGTTGTCTTCTTAAACCGCCTCATTGCTCAAATCCAGAGTAATTTTTTCTGTGGTTTTCACTACAACGGCGACCCGATCTGCAGTACAATGGAGGAGGTGACAACCAACCTAATTCCTTTTCCTGAGCTCCATTATATCTACATTCGTCATGCCCCCATTGTTGCCGCGCGTCGTCACGATTACCAAACCCAAAACAACCCACCTGAGGACATCGTGAAGGCTGCACTCAAGCCTCAGTACAACACATTATCCGCTGACAAGTACACTCGAAGCAAAATACTAACCACAGTTCTCTCCTTCCGCGGTGTGGCTGCCGGATGGCAACGTACTCTAGCCTCTACCATCCTGCAGTCAAAGATGAACCAATCTATGAATATCGTAGACTGGTGCCCTACTGGTGTAAAAGTTGCAGTGCATGCTGTTCCTCCCCTAAAACCCGTGCCTGAGTCCTGTCTCACAGAGAGTCCGATCAACTTAACCATGATTATTAATGGGACGGTAACCACTCAACGTGCGTTGCAGACAATCAATGCGCAATTCAACAAACTATACGAAAGACGTTGCTTTGTGCATTGGTTCGTGGGCGAAGGAATGGAGGAGGGTGAATTTATGGAGGCCTCGGGGGCTGTTAGTGAGGTCATTGAGCAGTACAGGAATGCGGAGAAGACCGAGGAGTAGAGAGGATGTGTTTCAACAAATAGCACATCTGTTTGTGCAACTGTACAGGAAAATGCCTGTGTTGCAGGTATTGTGAACCTCTTACCCAAATAAAACCTGCAAGTTGGGACTCTTGTTAATACTTCCTCACCGCATTATAGCATTACTTGAGGCCTTTTTCACTTGTGTAGTGCACTGCTTCATACAGGGAGGGACCGTAATTACGCTCATAAATCTCTCTGACCTATAATCGAATACTGCTAAGGCTTTGGGCTGGCGGATATTTATATACATTCCAGTGCAGCATTATGCTGACATTTGTTTGTCCCTGTGCATTCATTCGCTTCGAATTCAACCGGCTCCTTGCATTATTTGCTGTGGAAGATCCCATGTCCTCTTGACGGATCTTTTATTTCTGCTACACCTATGCGCATATGTGGAAGTGTACTTTCCAAAAAAGGCATGAAATGATGGGGAAGTACGGAGATTTTTGGTTGTTTTAGGGCTCATGTAAAGCCCACGTAATTCCCTGTTGTTTTTCTAACACCAGACTCAATGTTTCAAAAGGAAAGGTCAAGCTATCAATAACAATAGTACACAAATCGGTATTATATTCTTTTAAATACAACCACAGTCAGGTGTAAAAAAATGCATGGTCTTAGTGCAATGAAACTGTAGTCTCAATTTATCGGCAGCTTTTGATGTTCCTAAAGAGATCTTGATTCTTTCACTGAAAGCTTAAGCTTAATTAGTTAACTGAAAGGATTTACTGCGTTCTCTACTAACCCTTCTGCTTAAGTGTTTGATAGCAATCCAAAAATATGAACACTGTCAATGAGCGCATGGGATTTTACTTTGAAATAAAATGTAAGCAAGAGGCGTCTTTCGATCATGACTCGTGCCTCTCCTTCCAAGTTATGTCCTCTTCTCTCTCTGTGTAGAGGAACTCCGGGATGATTTCCGAGTCTTCAGTATCAGAGACATAAAAAGGTTCCCCAGTGTACCGCAGTGGCTCCACCAGTAACGGCTCTGCCGAGATGGCCAGCAGATTGCGGGGCTCGAAATAAGCCAGCCAACGCTTGTTTGGATGGCGGTCAAACATAATTGGTAGGAACTCGTCTACTGCCACCATCTTCTCCAGAGGGCGCTGCGTCATCAGTTTCTGTGCTCCTGAGCGCCGAAGCACGTAGGCTAGGGTCCAGTAGGTATAGCTAGGGTATGCAAGGAACCGTGCCCCTCTCACCATCACCTCGTTGCTGGACATGCGTTTGCGACCCACATAAAGTAGCTCCCAATCAGGTAGCGTTACGTCAGCCTCCTTCACAGTGGCCTCCAGGCGCCGGACAAAGCCTGGCACGAAGCGCAGATCATCTTCCAATATCAGGATTCGTTCGTAGTCCTTGGCAAGCATGTCCTTTAATTCCATAGGATGCAACTGATAGTGGAGGTTCGATTTTTAACTGGGGGATTATTTGCCTTTTCAACCCTAACAGCATTGGTTTTAACCCAAGCAGCTGAATTAAAACTATTAACATGAGTCCCAAAAAGCAGCACAAGTATGTTTCAAAGGTGAGTGGTTCCAATCTCAACTACACAAGGTGGCAGAGGCTTGCTTCGCCTGTTGCGGCTATTACCAATATCTGAGAAAATAATCTCGTAGAGCGGGAGCATGGCAATGTTAGGGACCGTTTGTAAACCTGCGCTTATAGGAAATGATGCTTGAGTTCCTTGATCACAGTTAAAGTCAATTCAATGTTTCATGGATGTCCCAAGCAAAAGTATACAAGGAATAGGTAATCTTAAGGAAATTTTCATCGCTCCTGTGATTCCTTGCAGTCTTTGGTGGATTATAATCCACCGAAAATGTAACTCTGGGAAAAACATCACAATTCATGCATAATTGAGAAAGCAACGCAATCAATCTCTATTTTGACGCTACAAACACGGTCAGAATAAGTTTACTGCATCACCGTCTTCCTCCAAGCGATTACAACGGCCGGTTCCATTTACGGTAAGGAATGGAATAATGACTTCCATTTGTAAAATCGTTGATTTGAACGAAGCTAATGACGCATCTTGGGGCTTAGGTGGGTGATCTAAACACAGATTGTGGAAGTGTAGTTGTGGTTTAAACGTTGGGGGACGCAATACTACTACTACCACCACCACCATCATCATCATCATAAACATCAACAACAACAGCAATGTTTCGAGGCGTTAGATGGTGTTAGACAATCCTCAAAAATAATCCTTTTGCTTATAACTAAGCTTCGACACAACCCCGTGCATCAAATCATTAAAAACGCTTCAAAATAGGACCTTATTCTATGGCTGTAAACAACATCATCGACTATCCGAGTCCGTGGACTATGTTATACGCATGTCTATGGCTTTGGCGCCTGAAGAAAACGATGTCAACTACCTAACGAAGCATACGCAATTCATGGTTGAACATTTTTTGAAGACTCATTTATATCGTATGTTTTATATTCCTCTAAATTGGAAGAATTAAAGTTTCAGCCTTCGGAAAACAACTTCTTCCCTTTGAATCGTTGCTAAAGCGTGTGCGGATTTGAAGAAAGTAACAAACAGTGAACACTCCTAAAGTTTTTGAAACTCACAGCTACACGATTGAACTCGATTCTCAAATAAGTGGGCATATAACTACCAAAACACGTTGATATTTAAGAGTACAGTATGCGCTACCTGCCATATCCGATAATGACTTAAAAAGCATCCAATCTCGCCGTACTTGAGTGCCCTCTTATGGTAGGGATCGGCATAGCCGGAGAGCTGGGTGATATTCCACTGCTTTATGATCTCTGGGTTCAACTCTCTTCCATCTGTTGCACGAATCAGCTTCGCCTTCACACCCTGTTCGCGTAATGCGTAATTCATTTTTTCTAGCCTATCTGGCCGTCGCTCCAAGTTAATAAGGTAGATCTGGTCGAAGCCAAGAAGCGAAGACTCTGGTATTTCCACAAACTTTTCCAACCTCGGCGAGAAATTCAGGGCAAAACCATTAGGCAATGCGTCATCAAAGATGGCATTCAGACGAAGGTGCAAAAAAACTTCAGCCTCCCTGTCGAGGAGGTATTTGGCCGAGTCTCGATAGGCTGGTGGGATTTCAGCCTCATCCAAGGGCAAAGGAAAGTAGCCGTAAAATACTCGATTGTCAAGGTAAAATTGAATACCCTGTGACTGCGCGTTTCTTGCAAAAATGATAATGTCGTCAATCGGCCCATTGTACCCTGAGTTTAAGGGCTTGAAGGACAGACGTTCCTCCCTGGTGTGGCGAAGGTTAACCAGAACCGCTGTGTGAACCATTGCTACAGCAAATATCCCTTCCTTGTGTCTACGTTGAAGATCAAAGTAGTCCTGTGATCGCTTATAGTAGCCTTCCTCGGTAATGTCGCCCCAAAAGTTGGAAAATACATCAGAGGTCGTGCAATTGAGCATAGGAGCAATTACAGTTATCGGAACAGGGTACTGCTTCGAGGAGAAGGAACTGACTTCAACAAGCCGCTTTAGAGTTGCATTGTTCAATAGAATGGCATCTGCATCCAAGTTGAAAAAGAAGTCAGCGTTGAGTTCATAGGCGCGGTCAAGAGAAGCTTGACGAAGATTTATCAGATGTTGGTGATGATCCTTTGCCCAACTAGGGCTGACGGGATGTGAATTCGTCTCGTCCATATCAAGATCAATGGCATGGTATAAATCTCGGACACTGTCTACCCAACTTTCCAGAATTCGTGCGCTTCTATCTATTGTATTATCCAGTCGAAAACTTAAATGAATTCTCTTTTTTGGATAATCTAGTTGTTCGAGATGATGTAGGAAGTACGGAAGGCTATGAGCCTTATTTCTCACCAAAACCCCAATACTAACAGAAGGTTCAATTTCTGGGAACTTGGAACAGGAGTTGGAACTACCATTGACTGCTGAAAGGACCAAACAGAGGATGAGGATGGGAGAAATCGAGCGAGGAAGTGATCGATCCATAGAAGACGAGATGAACAACTGGGAATGTAAACTCGCAAGACCTTAGAGCGCGTCCCTAAAAGACGTGACCCTCCATCGTGTACGCCTGTCTCCACCTCGGCTATATGACGTGGCGCCCAGAGGGCCTTCATTGGTCCAGTCTCACCAATTGCCCTTCAGCAAAGGACACACCGTGGTAGTCAGCGCACTGGTCCAAGTGGCCAACCAAAAGCTCTCATGTAGTGCCCACCACTTTGTTTTCATTCCTTCACTTTGATTTTACGGAAAAAGGAGCATACGAGGGCTTAGCTTCCAAGTAATTTTAGCCATTTTATATCCTATAGGGCCCTCGTCTGAAGTCAACAAACACTGGCACCATACACAACTGTCATATATTTAAACTCAGTAAATGAATTTGTGTTTATTCCACTCGACGTTTGATGTTAATGGACTTCACGGTATCCATACTCTAAAAGCTTCCAACATTAGCCTCGCCTTCCGGAAGGACGTTGACCGGAATCTAACGGTACGATCCCATCAAATGCATCACCGATGAAACTTCTTTTGCTGTAGCCACTATAACTCAGAGTGCGCGACGCAACTATCTTCGCACGGAAAGCTCCTTTTTACGTGCTACAGAAGGTTATTCCATCACCAGTGCTCAAATGAGGTGTTGGTATTGGCACTCTGACATAAGGAAAATAAATAAAACGCAAAGTAGCAGAAATTTGAGAGTGTCATCCTAGGTTTCGGAATTATCCCATTTAAGACAAAATAAACTAGCTGTTTAGAGAATGTTACACAGATTTTACGTTGTGTAATCGCAAGCTGATCAGTATCAGTTAGGTAACAACGAAAAGGTCAGATCATGAGAGTCGGCTTTAAGAGCGCAGCACTGAAGGCTACACTTCATTTATGCCTATTTTTTGAAGTATTACTTCGAGTACTTTACAAGTCAGTCATTGACTTACTTTCCAGAGGTAGCTGTGTGTTTCCCCACATGGTCAGTAAGTGATGCAATTAAGCTCTTTTTTGCTTTTGTGACCCCCTCGGGTTTCGAAGCCTGTCGCGAAATTCTTTTACCCGCACAAGCATTGTAGTAGAAACGTTGTTTTTGGTGTGTCGTGTTTTCTTTTTCAAAACATTGTTGTCTATTTCGAACAATTCATAAATTATTTGACAACACACTTTCGACTTACTTAGGCACAATACAAATGTCAACTATGCAGTGGCGAATTTTGCGCACTACAATCTGCAAAATGGCCTTCGAGAAAGCTAGGATGACTTCCAAATTTCAGATTTATGATACATTCCCTACGGAAAGTCTAAGTGTGTGCATTTTAGAGGTTTGTACAGCAATTTGTTTTGAGTGTTGAAGAAATCGAAACGGTTGATTTGAAAGCATTGTTAAAAAAGTGAAAGTTGTGGGTGCTGCACACAATTTGACACAAAATGACAAGCATCAACTATGTGGTGAAGTTCGTTGTTTCTCTATAAGCAAACCTACATAAAGAGCAGAAAAATAGTACAATTTCAGAAGAAGAACGTTGTAGACATTTTGTTCCTAGGTAAGGTTGCCAACCCTTTGACCAATCCGTTTAATGCGCCAATTTTCCAACAAATTCATATCCTCGCGCCACCTTTCATTCGCGTTACCCACTGTCTGTTGCCTAAATTAGCTCCTGCATAGTAAATTGACTTCAGAAGAACAGGAGAAAGTGGTGTGGCGATTCATCTCCAAGTCCAGTTGACTGATATTGTCAAGCAGAGTCGCAGACACTGAAGGCCCAGTACCACTAAGATGGTATAATCTTTGAACTTTTTGGTTAACTATTTGTTTTGTTTCCAGAGTACTAACAATTTTTATGATTCTGTCGGATGAAATGACATCCGAGCTCTTCTCTACAACATCATGTTATCTTTTCCGTTCTTTGTCTTTCGAAAAGTTGCAAGTTGGTACAATATTCCATTGGAAAGCATTAAAGGCAAAGTTATAAAGGAAATGCAGACCAGATTTCAGTGGGAATCAAGACCTAATTAACAAGGAAACGCTGAGTGTTTCCAGGGTACCCGATCCATTGACTGTGCCTTGCTCAGCTTCCAATGCTCGAAAGTATCTTGAGGCAAAATCAAAGATTCAGAACACACCGTCCGACTAAGCCTTACTGTTGGTCGAACACATACATTGCGCATTCTTCTATCTTAAAGGAAGGCCACGGGCAATGCATTTAAGCAGTGTTGAAATGCTGAGTAGTAAGGAAAGCCGTCCTTTAAGAGTCCCTCAGCAACCACGTACGCGCGTTCATGTTGTTCAAACAAGGAAGTTTCCTTAAATTAACTATAGAATCGTAAAATAGCTAAACTCTTCCCTATGAGGACTGAAAATAAAAACAATGGTTTCATGCTCGTCAGTCAGTCAGCAAGAGCCTCTGGATGCATCGCCTGCAACACCAACGTTTTATCTCACAATTACGTAGGATTTTGCCAGACTGTCTTCTGCCTTTCTCCGTTTTTGTCTTCGCATCAAACCAACGGAGAGGCTAAATAGAAGTGGGAGAGCATCAAGTGGTGAAAAAGCGCAGACTCGCCCAAAGATAGGAAGGGAAGGACTGAGAGCACCTAATACTTATTTTAGAAAACCAGTGCCACTTCAAAAATCAGATTACTGAGAGGGTGCCATGTCTAATTGTACCAGTAGGAATGTAACTTCGATTATGGGGAAGAGGTTTGGAGAACAATTTCGCATCGATGTTCCTTCAACTATTTGCAGAGAAAAATGAATTGAAAGTAAAGTTGCATCTAGACGTGTGAAACGGGCAAGGCAAAATGTTACCTCAATTCCATGGGAGAAGAAACTGTGGTAACCATCCTGCGCAGCATGACAAGCCAGATTCTTCTAAGTCTCCACTTCCAGGCCAAACAGCTGGACCCACCGCCCACGTAGTCCGTGCATGGATCTGCAATTAATAATAGGTTTGTTTCGAAAAGCCTTCAGAAACAGAAAACCCTTACCTCCGGGTGCTTGCATTACTGTCCTTTAGTGTTCTCCCCTGGAGTTTTAAAGGGTTCATTATTATAAAATATGGATCCAATGCCGGTACATTTATGACTTTACACAGCTGTGAGAGAGAACTGCGCTGGATGCCTTTTCTGTAGCTATGCAAGGCCTCTATTTTAGCATCAGAGCCCACATACCACGCAGACAAAGTAGTTAGGAGGAGTTGCTTCGAGTGAGAAGGACAAAACAAACAAAGCAAGCTAAGTCAGTAGAGTAAAATGGGCTATACCACTGTGCATACTTGACTAATTCTCCACGTGGGTCTTGTGAACGTCTTTGAATTTCCGCTAAATGGTCTAGCCTCCACACTTTTTGTCAGCCTGTGGCTTCATTATGCTTCCTTTCTTATCGATGAAAGACTCGAAATGATGTATAATCATAGGGAGTGGGGTTTTTACGGCTGCCAGCGCACATAACGGAAGAAGACAAACATTACAAACACTTCATTAGTGCCAAACGTCAGAGGAAACAGTCTACTAATTGAGTTTGAAAGCTAGTGTTAGCGTATTGTGTAGGAGAAATTTGCACCTTTTAAAGGGAGGAAGTGTTGCATAATGAAAAAGCTGACGATATTCCGCAGCGGATATTGCAGAGATTCATCATGGATTCCTAAGTGTACACTTACTCATTGTTTAGCTGAAATTACCTCCTTTCTACACAAGCAGTTGGCGGATTAAAACAGTTAATGAATGACACACTCACCACCAGCCTTCTATGCAGCATGACATTCCAATGGTGACACGCAAAAAAAGTGCTTCAACTTTTCTTTATAGATGATGCACCAAATAGTTGAACAAAGTAGCGTTCATTTGTGTGGGCATGAAAGCGAGGCCAATATCCATCGGGCAGATTCAAGCGTCACTACTTTGCCCGCTTTCGACGGAAACCGCGATTGAGAAAATGCGCATATCAACAGTTTGGTACAAAACAATTTAGTTGTCGAGCGACCTAAAGCTTGAACTCGACCAATACCTCTGGAGTTTTTAACCTAAATTAGCAGATTAATGAACGCTTTAAAGAAAGTTTGATGAGAATAAGAGGATGTTGAACAATATTGGGAAACTCGCAGTGACTAGACACTCGAATGTCTATTTCGCTGGTGGCGATGGTATTTTGAAACGACAAGAACTCGGGAGCGACATCCCCAAGACCGAAATGAAAGCGTTGCCTTATTTTTAAAACATCTTGTTGAACTCTTGACGTGATTAATCTAATAATTACCGACAATTTGACAAAATAGTAATTGAGAATGCTCACTTTTTGGCGGTACGCAGTTTTTGCGGATGTTGCTATTTCATTAAGACAAACTATACTGCTGCATAATTAAACAATCAAATTGAGTGATAGCAACGTCCAGCTTAAGATGTTTATACAGTGCATGTTAAGCATCTGAGCGAACAGCGTCAAGACAGCTTCTCATGACCCACTGCTTTCCCAAAACTGCACCGGTTCGCTACCCAATACATTCTGATTATTCCATATGCAGAGATGGACAAGAGCAAAAAGTACTTTAAAACTCCTAGCAGCAACATGGAAAAAGCGCGATGCATCGAAATGCTCAGATAGCGCCACTTTATAAATCAAATGTTCAGAAATATGTTGTTGGGTCCTCTCAGTTCCATGCATCCATACCACTTATTTTGGCTACTTTCCACCAGCAACGTGGCGTACACATCCCCGAGCCAAGTCAACACCACAATAGACACTTAACCATATCGTGATGTAATTGCCATGTGAAACATCAGGTTTTGAAACTATCACTGGCACACTTATGAACCAATTAAACAGTCCCTCAACTGACTCCTTTTTTTATTAGTACAGAGAACCTTCAGGAGGGGCAGATTAAATGCAAATTGATCAACGAGTTCGAATGAACCCTCTTTCAAAAAATTTTTGGGACGATGTACACGATCACCAACGAAGAGAAACGCAGTTATCATTGGAACGGCTTAAAAGGCGAGTAGCAGACGTCCGAGGATGTTGAATGTCTAGAATTGGGCAGTCAAAACACGCACAGATAAGAGCTCGTAGGAAAATGTGAAGTGAAGAAGCAGAGCTCTGCTGATTTGGCTGTTAAGCTACCGACAGACTAGCTACTTACAACCCTCAAGTAAAGGCACAAATGGCACGCGATTCTACGACAAATTGTCATCAAAGTAATCCGTAAGGAGCTAACAAAAATAATACTGGAATTTTCGAAAAAACCGCTCAGAGACCACTTCAGCGGCCGAACGTGATCCCCTTTTTATTCGAAACTGAAGTAAGTCCATCTTTTACAAACGACAAAGGATCACACATGGCTTCTCGGTAGGGTTAACAAACATTAAGATTGAGAAGGAAAAGTGAACGCGAAAATCCAAATTACATATTTACAATTAGCAGAACAAGGCAGTTATTTCTTGTTTGAAAGGCGACCTCGACCTTTCCCACCTTTCGCGTGACGACTAGGACAGCTCTTCTTCCTCTTCTTACTCCGGTTTTTCATTGAACACTTCTTTCTAAAAATATTTACAAAAAAGTTGACAAAGATCTATATTACATAAAGCAATGGCAGTAGACAAATGATAACTTATATGGAACTAGATAACCGGAGAGTAAACGGTGAAACCACAAGAAAGATGAGCGTACTCTGCTTTTTTAGCAATCTTTTGCTCATTGATTTCCTGTGAAAAACGACCCATAGAGGCATCTGAGCGTTTGGTGATTTCCAAAGCTCGGCTGAAGGCATTTTTAGAAGCCTCCGATTCGGTCAGAATCCCAACAGGAGGGGCTAAAATAATCAACGTACTTAGGGCAATTTCTAATAGCTTTCAAAATTAACAAGGTCAAGGATGCATTATCCTTGACGAAAAATGAATGTACAGTAGATAAAATTTCCAAAAAAACATCCAACCAGTGCCAAAATATCAGAAAAAAGGGTTAATACCTTGACCTTTCCTCACAGTTCGCGCAATGTTCTTCAACTTCGCGAATTCATTCTTAGCCCTTCTCTCACTTCGAGCTCGTGACAGTTTTTCGAACTGATCTTCATAAGGATCTTTGACCATAAAGTTAATACTGAATGTAACTTAGATACCTGCGTTATCGGGAACTTCCAGGACCCACTTATCCTTCACGGAATCCACGCGACCCTTGCCCCATCTGGGTTTCCAAGATTGACTAGCTTCGTCCCATACCCTCTTAGACCTTTTACGTTTTTTAATTCCTTTCATTTGGGCAAATCTTTCCCAACGAGTCAATTCCTTTGCTTTTGGGGCCCGTTTTTCACGTGGCAGCCTAAACGTGGGATCAGGCAACTAACCGCCACTTATTAAGGAACACTGTCTTACAATTGAGACCATTATACCATCGTTTGTCTCTGTTTGAAGCTACCAACAGTTTAAATGCTAAAAGCGAACATACCTTCCAAAAGTCCCTCAAAAAGTTTTCAGTGCAATTTAATGCTAAGTTTCGCATAAATGCCTTATTGCTACGAAATCATACAAGGGTTAGCCGGTATTGCATACATATCCTTTGGATCTATGGGCGCTTTATCTTCGTACAAAAGATTGCCTGGATCGCATTCAGATAAAAGGTGACGACTGGCAAAATCCATGGTCAGAAAGGTAAAGTTTCTATTTTGGCACACGAATCTACCAATCAGTGCATCTGGCTCTGTTGTTTCAGTCAGCGATTCAACAAGCTCGAGAACAATTCGCTGTTAATAAAAGCCGGTAAATAAAAAGTTCCTCGGATTGTTGTTCAGCGTAAAAATTAATTATTTAGCAATCAAAACTCTAATATAGTTTTTGGTGGTGCAAATTTGCTAAGCAACTAATTAATATTTCTACCATTAAGTCAAATTTTGCTTTTAATCTTTATTCAACGCAAACAATCGATAGCACTATTAACGTTTCGCTTTTATAGGGATCTTAAGCCGAACTAGCATTTATTCCAAGCCTTCCAAAAGGATTTGTTCCATACCTTTAGTGCTGCGCTTGTTGTGGCCAGGTCTACATCCGTTGTAATGTTCAAAACCATAATATTTACTTACTTCGCCTTGCTCCTGTGCCACCTTCGGGCCGAGCCAAGGCTCACTACCTTCTTTCCTGTCCAGGCTACATGTATTTAACCCAACTCGGGAAGCCCCGGGACACTACTGCAAGTATACTCATTACGGCTGCGGCGTCTCGGGGCTTTCTATAGGATGGGAAAAGGCATAAGTGAGGTTAAGTACATGTATTCCGAAGATGACAGGTCAAATGGGGACCGAGCGTGGCCCGAAGGCCAGCCCACGTGTATAGGGGCCAAACAAATTCTAATGTGACCGCCAAACGTCGGGTAGTCACATAAACGAAGCACCACAGCGGCATCTCGACTTCGCTCACTGGCTATTTGCGATGATTTACCTAAATACTATTCGTCACCACCAAGGGGATTGCCCTTTATACAGGCGCACATTTTTTCTTACTGCACTGTAAAAAGTTAAGTGAAGATTTATTTATGGGAAAGCCAGCAATCCTCTGTCAGTGTGTCCACCACACACACGGACAGTCAACTACCAAAGTATTACTTTATTATAGCATCCGGAGACTTCCCCTAGGTAAATACGTGTACTAAGTAGGGTTGAATGCTTGAATTCATGTAAGGTGGAGGGGTAGGTCTTTGTCCTAGCCGGAATCCTAGCCACGTGTACAAGTGCAAGAAAAATACCAAAGTGACCGCTGGTCACTGCGAGGGCTAGTGATTGGGGTGCTAATGCAGTGTATAGGGCAGCTGGCACAGACGCAGGTGCATTGGTCACTTAGTTCGCCTAAGGGCGGCAGACCAGTTGGGCTTATGCTTCGCTAAATTCTTCTCATAAATAGCTCCTATGGAGATCATCTTAGTGGCTCGTGCCTCGTTTGAAGTTAGACGAAGGCTTCTTGTATGGACGAGAGGGAATTAACAGTAAAGAAGGGTTGAGGGGCTACCGGCATGGCACGGAAGTCACCCTAACCAGCTAGAGAATCAGTTCTCGGGAGTTTAATAACTGCGAAGTCAAAAAAACTAATTAAGCTACCAAGTAATTACACAGTACCTGGATCTCGCATACAGCAATCATACTTTGTACTTTGCCAAGTCATAGAATGACTTGTTTATTAACTGAATGCTTTATACTAATGTTAAGAAGATAATCAGACTCCAACATTGGTTGCTCAGAGCATTTTCACATTGAAAACAGTGAAGTTGGTCAGAAAGGTTTTAAAAAGACTTTTGGAATAGGGACAAACGAAAAGAAAACGTGATTTTGTCTAATTTTTGTATAAAATGCCAACTATGTTGTTGTGGTGAGGTTGGGTCTTTCCTCCTTATAACTTTCAGAAGATATCTTTCCTAGGTCTACAATAAGTAGGATGTGTATAAGGGCGGGGTGACCTGTCGAGGGAAGACATCTCCTCCCCAGAGTCCTCTAACACCGTGTTTGAATTGAATTCGCGTCTCCCTCCTGCCGGGCGCAACTTCAACAGCCAATATGTTTTATAGTAACATTATCTAAATTTCTTGCGGATGTAAGTTATTAACCTATTAAGCACCTCATTTTTAAGTATAACCTCTGGTTATTTCATTCGCCTTTGTTTTTAGTAAGTTAAATGTGAAACCTTTTGACAGGTCGGTATGAGCCAATACTTAGTTACTAGCGTCGATGCGAAGAAGTGAAAAATATTTTCAATAAAAATTTCTATAAAAATTGAAACCTGTCAACAGAAGGAATAATTAATATGCTGTTCCCATTGACTATGCAAGAAGAAGCAATTAAATAACTGCCCTATGTCGCTATGCTGTGGGGAGTCATAATGCAGGACCAGAAGAGATTCACCCTATTCCCACCTTGGCTTATTTGAAGGCTAAGAACACTTTAAATCGTAATTATTTCGTGGGGACCACCATGCCTGGTTAACATTTTCAGATTTGTGGCGTCCCTTCAATTTCCACTGCCGTAAACAGTACCACTAAGACTTCAAAAAAACAAGGCGCCAAACTTAAGTAGAGGTAAATTTTAACATGGTCTCCTTTGCATTCTTAGTGTGTCAATGACTACGCCAACCCACCGGTCTCATTCTGCGCTTGGTTTCAAAATAAATCACAAAGTTTGGTCACTGTAGCCTCAAATATGCTGACCCTGACACTCGTTCAGTCGTAAAAACAATGGTGGCAGGGGGAGGGTGGAGAGGAGCAAATTATTTCTAATGAATGTCCAATGTCAGCCTGATATGCATTGGCAGAGCCATTAATATATTCTTGAGTGGAGCGCATTCATTACTCTAGTCGTCCAAGGCGAATGGGATTTAGTGTTTCATATAGAAGGACTGCGAATCACTATTGCTTGAAAAGTGATGTCTTATACTCAGTTGCATATTTCTAGGCAACTTTTTAAAGTATGTAAATGTGAGTCATAAATGTGTAATCAGTCGGCACTAAAAAGTTATTTGAATTCAACCCATCAGTTTCAAAGACAATTCTTGGGATATGTTGTTGAAAGTGCAAATCAGGCATTAAAATTGTGTAATTTCATTAAGAGGAGGATTGCAGTAATTGCAAAAAACGCATTTCATCAGTCTAAAAGTGATGCTTAAGTAGCACAGCTCTCACGAAGGCGGTGTGAGACTTATCCAGTGGCGAAGGGAGGAAGGCAGAATGTATTCTGTTGACATGCGGAGGTACTGGCTGCCTATTGGCATGGCCTAGACACCGAGGTATGCGGGAGAAGTTCGAGAGCGGAGTCTTGCACGCCAGCCGTAGTTCCACGCACTTTCACCAATCAAACCTGTTTAAGTGGACAAGAGTGCTATCACCTCAAGGATTTACGGCCACGTCCTTCATAACTGACTTATAGGTTCCGAGGTCGTCATGTATGCAGAAAGGCTTAATTTCAGTTGGACATTGGTGTTGTTTCGTTGGAACGTATATGAACCAATATGCCTGTGTTGGTGCACTAAGCGACGTTTGTCAAATGGGAGCATAATCAGTGCCTCAAAGTCGCTGTGGGAGGAAATGAAAAGGAGTATCACTTCTTCTATATTGTCTTGCTGAAGAAAAATGGAAATGGTCTATCTGTTGGGTTAAGTCCAAGTCCTGATGTTGCCTCCCACCTCTGTTATTGGAGGAGCAGTCACGTACGACAGTAATAAAGTGATTATGCTGGACTCCACTTAACGCTTTTATTTCAGTCGACTTGAAGGAGCCTTTCCATTGCGAATTGGAGAGGAACAAAGTGGTTTATAGGACGTTCCAGAATAAAACTCTCAGGAATATTGGCTTTTGTCGATAACGGGTTTAGAGTAGAGTAAGGAGAGTTTTACAAATGAACTGCTTCTCGTCTTTGCATATGGCTGTAGAATGAATGCCTTCAAGGTGAATTAGGATTTTGGTTAATGGTACCTATTTCCTATTGAGATTTTAAACATGGTTTTCAATCCTTCCTAAAAGAAACTTGAAGGAGATGTTCGTTATGAGGGCCTGCAATCCAACAATGGAAACGTGATGTTGTGCAAACATCCTCAGGACGCCTAGGAGTGGTTGGTGAGACTAAGCATTCAGTTTTGATCTCCAACCAATCAGCAAGCAACAGCAGCATCTCAAAGCCATGGGAATGTGCTACAATAAGATGAAACATTTACCTTTGGCAGGATTCATGGACCTAACATATTCAACCACTCTAAGATTCCTTTTGCTGCTACTTGTTCCGACTGACAAGATTAGTGGCCGAATTTGGCGCCTGCCACTTGATGGCAATTCAATTACTGGAATCTTTTTGGAGAAAGAACTTTCACCGACCCTTGCCGGACATGGTATGTCTTGTAGTTCTGATACAATTCTCCCCTGCAATGCAATGAAGACCTCTACGTTAATGGCGAATAGGAGCGCAATGCCTTAGACTTCCTTGAAACATCATGTAATGGCACCATGGTGTGAGAATTTAACTCCTTGTTTTGCACAAACCATATATTAAAAGTACTGAACTTGCCCAAATATACGCACATCAACGGAATTCCATGTCTCTCCCACACATCCCCTTCACGAGGTCATGCCTGAAGAAGGCATCGAAGTACCTCATTTTACGTGCACGTTACTAGCGCGGGTATTGTCGCTTTGTGGGTGACTGATGACGGTGCCTGTTTTAAAGGCCAAGGAAAGTGATGCCCATGAATTGCCATAAGCTAAGATATTTTTTGCAGGTAGTCGTCCTCTCTCAAGAAAGCCCCATTTCGACTCTAGAGAGATTTGAAAGCAAAAGGGAAAAAAGATGAAATTTTTCCAAAAATCGGCATCTCCTTATACAAAGTAGAAGGAGATGAACCGTGGGCCTTCATATAAATTTAAATTTTTCTACCCCATCTCGCTACTACATCTCACTTTGTTTTACCTCATTAAGAGTTAAAAGGTTCGGACAGTTAACTGACGTACAATAGTTGCATTTGGCCTAAATCTTATGCTTTCAAGTGGTTGTGCGTTTCACCCAAAGACTTACGCTGTTCCCCCAATGGTTGCAGAGGTCGGTACTTAAGTCCCTTGCGCTTGTTTAATTGCATTCAGGTTGTTAAAACTCATCTATGTCCTATAACACTTTGATTTCAACTAATTTATCTTTCAAAGTGTATCGTTGTTGCAATTATAGTGAAGCGGTAAATTATCGTTTGTCAATTTAACACACTTTCAACTTCATAGGCTATAATAACTGCACAAATAACTGCACATTGAGTTGAAACTTTAATTTATTTCATTTTTTCTGAGGAGCAATTATGAGGAGCTGTAAAATTCGTCCAATTAATTCCTCATTTTTTCAAGTAATCATTTGGCTTCCTCAGCTTAATTAAGGCATCAAAACTTCAAGTTTGCGAGCTCACAAACTGCGTACTTTGGTCGATCCCCAGCCTCTTTTTTCAAGACAAACTTATGCATTGTTTGTACAGTCAAATCGGTGAATTGTGGCTTTCACCCTCTTAAATATCATACAAAAATAGCTTTTTAAACGTTAGTTTTGCTTTTAAGCGTTTCACAGGAGGATTTCACACAACTTCTGTTTCCAGTTGTCTTAGCACTGCTGATTTCTGCATCATCTGCATATCCGAGGGGAAGGAGAAGTGAGCAAAATAATTCCTTTAGTGTTCTCAAAGGCAAGTTTGTGGAACAGTGAAGATCGAATGTTGGTAAATGCTCTGCTAACGCTGGATCACCAATTAATCAGTGAATTGACCAACACATCGGGCAGCCCATCTGCAAATGGAGGTCTCGGCTTTCTTGGAATCTCAAAAAGTTTGGTCTTTCCGTAACATTAGGGGTTGGAGATAAGATTTATGTTTGTAAGCATTTAAACTCTTGATAAAACCCTTCCTTCCACATCTTAAGTATTCTTCTGTCCCATGTTTTGCCTTATTTGTCTCAAACCGGTCTTGTGGAGCATTTTACTATCGTCTCGAAAGTTACGAACTTTATGCGTTCGTACCTCGGTGCACGTGAATTATTAGCTGCCTGCTAATGGTGCATAGCATGTGGATGGGGGAAGATGTAAGCCTTCTACCAGTGTTTAAACGTAGTGCTGAAGATGAACGCCTATCATTGCGTTGTCGCAGTGGGGCCAATGAGATTCAGGTGAGTTGACGGAGTTTGGAAAACCTCTGAACGTATGAAAACCAAAAACGAGTGAACAATAGAAGAATGGATTGGTCAAGCTTTGGATCAGTGTCTTGAGGATGTGCGCTTTGATCCACTGCCGTGCCCACTTTCACAGGTCCAACATACACTTCCATGGTTTCATAAATAGTCCCACAACGCTCGAAACAGTCAGGCACATAGCAGTAAAGCGATGAATAGCTATGAACTGGAAACGCATTTGATAATATGACAAAACTTTTTTACCTCTTGCAATGGCACTGACAAAATTCATTTTGACTTTTGAATGCATTTTTTCTTTTGATTCTATGCGGTTAACTGTCAACATGAAAATATTAGTAGTCATTTTAAACAGCAATTATCAGACGGATCTTGAAGAATGGAACGCAAAGACCACATGAGAAAACTTTTAATCGGCATGCGCCTTAAAATTAGTGGCATGAGGTGTAGTGCCGCAGTTGTTCCCATGGGTGTCTGGCCGAGTTTGGGCAAAACATTCAAGGTTTTTAATTGGCAGTGGCTCATTCATTTTCATTTCATGAAAAGGTAACTTCATGACTCCAAAGAATGTTAGACTACTCAAAAGTGATAAATTTTTAAATGACACGAATTCGAGCACATTATCAAAAATTGGTTTCAGAGCGGAATGGTGACGCCCATCATTTCAGTTAGCATTGAAAAACTTATATTGAGACAGTTGAGGAGGGAGTGGAGAAGCTAGTTTTGCTTTATCATTGCCTGGCTGCGCAATTAGCTTCAGTAATGCACGAAGGCGTGTCAAAAAGTGACTCGATGAAAGGTAAACAGACTCCAGAGGAAGCACGAAACCACCTACTGGTAAAGCATGGTAAGTACAAATTGTACCCTAAATAAGCTGAAGAATGTGTAGAAGAAGTCGAGTTGCCGGTGACTAGAATGCTGGTGCCCCAAACAGACCTTAATTTTGTCCATCTGAAGAGGCATTCCCGTTTATTCGCATCCACATTATTGTTGCGGTTCACATATAGGAAGCGCAATAATTCCACTGAGTGGGTGATTGACGAAGGTGTTGAGATTTACAGCTCGGCCCTTAGAGGTGTGTGCTGTGTTAAAATAAAAATAATCTCCTCCGTGCACTTTGATCTAGGGACACATTTTGGCTGTTTTTAAATTACTTCGTTAATCCAGATGATATAACCTAATGCTCTTCCTTAATTTCTAAAGTGGAATTTATTGCTTGTTCCTTCCCCCATAGCTCAAGAAAAATTTATCAACATAACAGTTGAAGAAGGTGCGCCAGAACTAACGTTGCAGTGCACTAGAAAGGAACATCTAGTGACTTGGTTCGTTTAAAATACCATAAAATTTTATGTATTTGATCTTGTTTAGTCCAAAGCAAATACATTTTAGCACCAAAGGTTTAAATTTACAAGAATTAGATCTACTGAAGGGTCAAACATTTCGTGCAGCTACGGTGATAACTTTAAGAAAAGGGATAGAAATTGTGACTTCTACACAAGTGCTCTACTTTGAGACAAAATTGGTTCAAAAGGGAATCATTCAATTCGTGATGTCTCTTAATTAAGGTATAAAGATGGGTTGAAACTGCAGTCTTCTCCACGTCTTCAAGTCAACTCAATCGGGAGTCTTCGACTTCTGGATGTCAACAAGGACCACACGGGAGTATACCGATGCTACGTAGACCTTCACACCAAGGTGAAATTGGTCAGGAGTTACTTCATTCAAGTGGCGTGTAGGTTTATGACTGGCTACAACCGGCGCATCGCACCAATGCGATCGTTCAGTTTAAAACTGCATGAATTTCACTTTTTTATTACACCAAAGATAACAACTTTTTCACCATAAAAATAATCTTACATGTAAAATTAGTTTATTAGGAATTACGGGAAAACTGCTTCGGTCTAATTAATGTCACTGTCATAAAATTTCTAAATTTTCTAATGGTGGGCGATTACTTCCGCCTACTTCCTGAATAAAACCAGACAGTTATGAGTGGCTTTCGCAATGACCCGCCCAATAAAGTGGATCCGCACTCAACGCTCAAAATTATTACGCTGACTTATCCACCTTAATCCCAGTCATGATTAAGGGAAATGTACCAAGATATTAGAATGAAGAAATGGGAAAGCAGTGGGCCTATTGCTTTGCTAAGAGTACGTTTAATACAAGGAAAAAGATTTAAATGATGCCATAAATATTAACTCAACTTTACCTCGTAACTACTTTTCAAAAAGCCAATTTTCATGATCTCCTAAATACGGGTTTAAAAGAAGCACTTAAATTCGTTTACTGATGAATTATCTGATCTTGCATTTTTGGAGAGTTCTTGATTTGGTTGTCAAGGTCTGGCTGCGCAATCCCTGTTTCAGCTATGGGTCTTCAAAGCTCGCAAGTACTTGGAATGAAACAATTCACTAAATGGAAACATCGTATCCTGTAACGAAGGTGTTCTACTCAGTAACTTATCAAAATAGTTGAGTGCTTTTGTTGCATGCATGCATGCATGAACTAGGTGTCAAAAGTTAGCTCCTGTTTTTCCATGTACTGCGCACGTGTTGTGTCATCGCAACTCACTGCTCCGTCCACAGAAATAGAAATAAAGCTAGTATGCTACTGATTCTTAAAAAATGCTAATAAGAGTCAGGATACGTAGTTTCTAAGATCTAATTATGAATAGTTGTAAAGTAGCTCGGCGCCTTTACTGTGCCATCGGACCACCTTGGGATTAGACGTTGCAATGTTGCAAATCCGCTAGTGCACAAATCTACCACCTGTCGAATTTAATTTTGCAATATTTCTGCGGATTAAAATATATTGAAAAGTGACAGTTTGTCTAGGTTGCGCATCAAAATGCAATTTACGCATAAAAGTAGGCAGTGACGCTGATCTCGCTGATTCAAATGGTCTGCCTTTACTGAGCAACGCCTAATCGGTTGGACTTACTCCAAACTGGTGTGCTCATTCGCATAGACCTAATAATTTCTCAATGACAATTAATGTTACGCTGTACAGATACTCAAACCTTCTCTGGGTCTGAAAGCGAAATGTTTCATTTAATTCGTAATCATTGACACATTTTCAATTAAATGCAGGAGTGCCCCGTTTCGCTGACATTCCGCTTCCCATTATAATGAGAGTTTTGAGCCTATGATAACTTCAAGGCATGTCTAAAACATCAAATCACCAAGGCGGTAAAGATGCTGCGACATACTGAAGTAGTTGCTGTTACTAATCAAACAATAGGTACAGTTTCCTTTCTCTGAAAAAAGAAATACAGTGCACTTTTTTACTTTGTGATGTTAAAAATATAAGACAAGCCGGTGGCATTGAATCACTTCGCCAAATCTGTTTACCTGACTGCGGGTCAACCGGGTCATGTTGTCTGCTGTCTGTCGGGCTTTCCTGAAGTCACTCAGGTCATGTGGCACCGAAACCCATCTCTCAAGGTCTCGGGCTTGAAACGCGATGAGAGACCGTCCACTGGCGTGCAATTCCTTCCCAGTCGACCGCTTTCCACGGAGAAACTTGTGCGAGCCTCGCATCTATTCAACGTGAGTCAGTAGTAATGAGCTGCCCTAAAGGTGTCATAACACTTCCTACTGGTGCAGTTGCCAGTATTATCAAAGTACAAACGGACTGGAAGGTTTGCCATTCAGCCGATGTGACTAAGCGTCGAAAAGAAAGCAAAGCAATCTTTTACAATCTTATGCATAGTGAAGGAGACATCATTCATACAGTGTGGCAGTAATCTTGCATTTTAGCTGTTCGATATGTTGACCTTCTGACGCACTTTCAGACATACATATTTGGAGTGACTCAACTTCGAACCAGAGAATAATATTTCCAGGGGCCGAATAAGCTATATATTAGTGGACTTCTCAATTCGTTGGCCGTTTAAAAGTCGCAGTTCAGTCCTTCGGAAGCATAATCAGCACTATTTACGAGTGGACCCGCAAATACCTCACCGTTCCTTCACAAAGGCCTTTTCGCATCCAATTACTCTAGCGAATGAATTAGCACTAAATGGTGTAAATCTTAGCAAAGCCATTCATGTGTCGTGATCAATTTTCTATCTCTAATGTATTTGCACGCATGAAGTCAAAAGCAGTGATTATCTTTCTGTCTTTATATTCATGCTTTGGGACAGCTTAATAGAATTCTTTGAGACAACCAAGGTATTTATGAATACCTCCCGAACCACCCCGCCCTTGCGTTTGTCACGGAAATCCTACATATCCTGTGTTTCATTGCCTACTTGCCCTTCAATTTACAATAATGTGGCTCTTAACTATAAAAACAATTTGAACTAATGCTCCCGTCTGCGATGTACTTCCTTTGGGCCAGCCATACGGACTGCTGTTGCAAATAAGTGATTAAAATACTAACGAAAATTTTGGTCTTCATCATCCACCCAACTTTGCCCACAAGGTTGACCGCAAAGTAAATGGATTCAGTCGTATTCTGTTCGATTATTTAAAAGGAGTGCCCGAAGGTGGATAAAGAATTTGAAGTCATCCACACCAGCAACCAAAAGGCTAAACTCCGTGGTTGCACGCAGATTACGAAGTCAGCAGCTGCGCATTATCCAACGCGCAGCTGCTGGACGTGCAACACGATCCCTCCCTTTCGTCACGAATGCGTTTGACAGCGCAAGCACGAAGCACTCCTCTTACAAGTTTTATAAAGTGTGACATCAGATCTCTTACCTTCGCTTTCACCAAAGAACTAATTATTATTTATTTTTAAGCAAATCTGCATCACTTTTGATTGATGCAGAGTTGCACGGAACTCCACTGACGAGAACTGTTCATATTTGGTGCAGAGATTATTTTCATTAATTCTGGGTTGAGAGATCTCTTTCAGGGAAGGTGTTTGCACTCTTACAGATGAAGAAGTAGAAAGCATCAAATTCCTTACAAACAACTAAAATTTGATAACATGGTTACCAATCCCTTCTGTTGTTATGCCTTCTTGCAATGTTGCCACCACAAAGCCACTTGAGACGCATTTTAAATCTCATTTGTGCTTTTGATTGAGGGTTGCAGTGGACTGCAAGAAAAACATCTAATCCGTGGAATACAGCTTTCCTCTTTGAATGTTCAGATCTACAAAATCACCTGAATACAACAATTCCCAAGGTTTTATAAATTCTAGGTGCAAATAAAGGGACACAGACCATGAACGCAACTAATAATAAATAGAGTAGGTGTTTTGGAATGTGAATAAGTCCGAGGCCTTGCTCTTATTTAAAATGCAGCAGCCTGTCATTTTGAAGGGTAAAAGAAGCCTTAAAAGTCTTAACCCCTTACTGTTAGAATCGCTTGTCATCAGACTCATCAAACGAAGTTGGAGTAACCTTAGCTACTGGCATAAAATATGATTCAACTGCAAGCAGACTGTAAGGGCGTCGCAATTCCGCTTACTCGGACTGGCAGAGCATCCCATATGCAATCGCGCTCCCTTCACCCAGGCAGTTGGCACATTGGAGTGACAATATTTTGTTAAGTTGGATTCTATTGGGAAATGAGGTTTCAACGCCATCTACCAACTAACAATTACTAAATCTTGTCACGCAAGCTAATAGAAGTGAAATTTGATTGAGTCCCTTCTCTTGGGGGAAATGGAATCCTGAGTAGCATTGTGTTGATGACACTTGATATCTGCTTTTATTTAAAACCTAACTATCCACGATACCGAAGCGTCGACCCTATGCCAACAAGGTGCCATTGTAATTACTGATGCCGATCAGTAGAACAGCAGGAATAAGTAATTTTGTGAGACCTAAAGCAGCATCATTTTGCCCTCTCTCGGTAAATTTGTTTCCAGGTTCACTTTCTTCTTCCAAGATAGCACGGTCTTTACAGATTAGCATGATACACCTGTTTTGCCACGTATTCTTCGATGTGTGATCAGAAGTTGTCTCCACAGCTACACATTTGGATCGTCCGTACAAGCACAATAAGGGGATAAAATTCAGTACGTTCTTTGGAAAAAATAGGGCGTAACTTGCTACAAAAAACCGATAGCAAGCGTCTGGCCGGAAATGTCGGGCGTCTACACCTGCCAAGGAAAGAATTCTCTCGGCTGGGGACCTCTTTCAACTCCTTTCGATGTCTTTGTCAAAGGTACATTGTCGTTATTTGCAGTGCCAAAGTTGCTTTAATTAAACTTAGCGATTTGTAATTGCGGTGGACAAAAAAGTGACTGCAACTTAGGGTGATCCCAAATGTAATCATCCAGAGTTCAAAAGTAGCACTACTGACCAAAGTGATTCTTTAACTGAGCGAACTTTGATTAGCTGCAAAAATTCTTCAAGTTTACGAAAGAAGCGCACCATAAACTCTTCAACTAGCTCCTCTTTAAGCCTGAGTTTTTAGCACAAATTAAAAAAAGCAGTTGCAAGAAGGTAAACGTGCGCGTTGACTTCCTCCAGAATGCGCTCAAAGCAGTTCCTTTCAAGAATCTCAATGTATGATGAAGAGGAAATCACCTTGCATCACCTTAATTGACCCACCTATTTTGATCTCTCCAAAAGATGAAGCTCCCTGCGCTCTTAATCGAAGTGCAGAAGCAAACTCAATACTGAGTGACCGAATGTCCTACAACACACAATATGCATGAACATACGTTTGTGATTTTCTGCATTTAGCCCAGCCATACTTTATACAGAAGCCTGAGAAATTTCCAAGCAACGAAATTACCTTCACGGAGATTGCGAGGAGTTGTAGAGCCACGGGTTTCCCTCCGCCCGAGATTACATGGTTCAGATATGTTTTAAAGGTAAATTTAAATGGAAAACATTATCCGATTGCAACTATGTTTGGTGAACTTCATAGCCCTCATTCGTGATGGTGTCACAAGTTTTACACGTGACGATTACCTTATGCTAATGACATTGCCGAACGAAAAATGGAAGCAATGGCTAATTTTGCATCCCTTTATAAGTTTGTAACGTCTCCTATTGAGTAGGAGGTGCGTTTTTATTCCACCTAATATTTAGGGCAGAAATTGATAGAAGTTAGGTCAGCAAATACATGCATTTTGGACTAACTTTCCGGCTCGACAGGAGGTTTTTAGTGCATTTGGTAAACCTAAAGAACTTTCGACACAAAACACATTTTTTCAGCCTACTTTTACACATTCATCAGTAGCACATATTGGCATGATATTAACTGTGAATGCGAGTGCTTTCATTCGAAATGCACTGATTGCCTAATGTTGCCCTTTTTGCCTCTTCCTTAGTGTGGGACGCAGTTCTATTTGGTGATCACAAGAATCGTTAACCTCTTACTGACTTTCTAATGCCACAAATTGATGATTTACTCACTCTGTGAATCCCCTCAAGTAAATGACGGATATGAATTGGCAACTGCGATATTGTGGGACTTGAAATGTCAAAGTCATCAAGGGCAAAACCAAAACTAAAAATCGGAAAGGAAAATTCACACCACTTCATTAAAGAAGTTCATAATGTTTTAGAAGCAAACGGTAACCTTTTTCGCGATGACATATTTTACGTTTATGAACGTTTGCATTTTCCATATTATGAATAAAAGTTGACGTAGTACGGAATAAAGCTCGTTATTTTATTCTCAGGCGGCAAAACACATTAAGCGAAACGTCTCTATCTCCTTCGAAATGATGAAGGTGGGAAAACAGTGGATGTTGTGTCCTGTGGAGAGCAGAACGCTTTGTTGGACGACCGAGAGGCATGAAGTTACGACATCGAAGGTAACGCGGGAGTTTGGCATCTTCGGTTGTACGGCTTCTAATGAATTGGGCTCCCAAATCGCCTTAACGAATCTCGCTACTCCAAAACTCGTCTCCGATTGGAGAGCCACTGCAGGTGAATGGCTACGAAACCTCTTATCTTCAGCCCCGCCTGATGATGCATTGTGGAACAAGTGGGATTTTAGCGACAATAGTTAAACGCATCACTCAAGACCATTTTTGGTTTTTTCTATGATAGACTTCAATCTTTTTCCATTTAGGGTTGATAGCCATTTTCCAAGCACAAGATGTCTTAGAATGAAGGCGTATTTCAACCGTTTCCATATCGTCTAATTATGCAAGTCGGGGTAAGGCTGTACTCTTGCAACGAACAGGACAATTTAGTTACACAAATTATAGAATGAGACATTTGGAGAATCGTTCCCAAGTACGGTGCCCCTTGCGAATTGTGGCGCGCACAGCCAAAAGCTGTTACCGTTTGGAGCTGGGATAAAAATAATTTGACCATATACAGATGGCTTTTCGGTTTTATTAAGGCCTTTTTTCTCAAGACAGCGATTCTTTTCTGGTTTTGTCTTTTGGGCATCTTTTTCCACATATTAATTTAATTTGGGCAAAAACTTAAATAGGCGAACCACTTTTTTGCAAATTGGTCCAATTTAGTCAGGGATTCGTCTGTGCTTTCGAAGGAAAAACCGAGCGATCTTGTGTTTGAAGTGGTCATGGTACAAACTTATAAGGGAAGTAGATTTGTGCCTACAGTAGAAACTTAAATAAAGCAATGCATAAAACTTTTTGCTTAACACATTCTCTGCTGCAAAATGACAATCTGAATGAACTTTCTCAGGCCTCCCAAGTCTGGAGGCCCAAATCTTTGCACATGCGTTATAAGTCACAACATCTCATGAGTCAGCATATTCATGCAAAACCTAAGAAGGTAATTAGGGACATCGGAAGCCATCGAACTCGAATACTTATTGGCAATGTGCTTGGCTAATATTCCTTCATTTTTGGCAGGAATTGATGTCATGAATTCTCTTCCCTGCGGACTAAAAGTCCTCGTGGAGGTGTTCATCTGGACACCCACAACAATTCCCAGGAAGATGATTTTAGAGTATCACGAATGCTCCTTCTGGGTAGAATTCTCCAGCTCTCTGAGGCAAAAGCAATGGAAACGCGGTTAGTCTATTTCTCGGAGTCAAACTCAAACTCCTCTCTGAGGAGAGCTAACGCGTGTCAGTTTTTGGCACGATTTCATCAAGATAATTGGATCTAGTTAAGGAACGACTTATAAATTTTAGCATAAAATCCATTTAAAGGCGTAATTCGGGGTTCATTCGCCGTGTGGATCATGCCCAAGGAGACGTAGCCCTGCCATTTGTCTCTAGCAGTTTGGCAAACAGGTGCAAAGGGATGAGTGCCAACCAATATTAATCCAATGTGTTAAGCTGTATCACAGCTTTTAACGGACCAAGTTTTCTAAAATAATTAAGGAAGAGGAGCCGAGCTGTGAGGATTAAACTACTTTATATCCCATTTTTCAGGGTTGACAATGCTATTTTAAGTGGCTTAAAGAAATTTAGCTCCATGAAGTGGTAACGCTTTGCTGGCTTTGCAAAATGCGAGCACTAATGCATTCAACCATGGGAAGATGGCACCGAGCTCTTAACTCCTGCGACGTACCACCGCCCACCAATCCGCTTCCTCTGGGATATCAGTAATGCATACCTGAAATAGGATTCTATCGTTGAGACAAATAGGGCATGAGAAGGCTGAAAAACTCTCTCCAAGTACGCTTGCAACAAGCGCAACTAGGAGATAAAATGGTGGCGGCGTCATCTAATTAATACGCCGGATAAGGAGAAGTAATTTATTGGCTGTTCCCCACGGTAGCTTTCGCTTGCTCACGCATACGGAAACGGCCTGGCAGAGGTATAATCAACATGTTTACATTTTTTGCAGCTACGACACTTCATGCATCACCTTCTGGCAAGAATGATGCATGCACCATAACTTAAATTTTAAATTGCTAAAAAGTTGTCTCGTGACTTGTTTGCGATCCACTACATAATGTGCTGCTCAGAAGGGGCAGCACATTATCATGTATCAGGAGGAGTCACAACCCTCCTGCTGTCAACTGCTCGGTTTATGCAAATTTCGTTTTGTTTCTGAGGATTTATGATACAAGAGAATCCCTCATAATACAATGTAGCAATGCCTTATTGATAGTAGAAGCATTCTCTCACTTTTTGGCCTTCATTTGTATTAATCTACTGTTAGATTAAGATGCATATTGTTTCATATTATTCATCATTTAAGAAAACATTAGGCGCTTTTCATAAAATAGCATGATAACTTGTCAAGTCTGTAGCACGTTTTATGAGCTCCTATGGCTTAGGACAGCAGATTTGTCGCCTATTGAAACAAATGATATGAGTAGAACGTCAGTTGAGGTGTGAAATTGGCAGCCACACATTTGTCAAGGAGGAGAAGAGGACCTGAGGTTTTATGGGCACCTCGATCTCACGAAAGTCCAAACAGTAGTAGGAGTGAAGAACGCACAGCGACCGCAAAATGCTCCTCCACACTAAGCGGTTGACAATATACAAGTTTTTTTTATTGAAGATTCCACAGACGAATTTTGCGACGATTGTAGTGAATAAAATTGTTTTGCTAAACTTGTGCTTGACTTCACCATGGTCTTGCTTTAAACTTGAGCAGAATCCATTTCCCGAGAATCAATGCAGTCAGGGGAATTTAAGATACTTGGCCTCTCTCCCAATACGCTCACTGCTGTGAGGGTTTTCATGAGTTGCTCACGGACTCAACCGGTCGTGAGTAACACCGCCTACAGCTGGACAAAGGCCACAACCGACGGTTCTGAATGCTCTCCTACCAAAACTGGTCTAAAACGAAATGCAGGTACACAATCCTCTTTTGCTAAGCATGCTAAGCTCTCTTTCAAGGTGGAGTTAATTGGTATAATTTTTTTGAATAACGCTTCGAATTGTTTGCCTTGAAGTCATCAATGTAAGGCGGCATATGGGCGCCTCAAGAAAAGAGGACTGATGTTTTGTTGGACCACTAAGGGGGCAAATGGAATCATGCATACTAATGAAGTGGGCCCAAACTCCATTCAGGCAACTGATCTTATCACCAGTTTTTAACTAACCTGCTACTATGCTCAGCGTACTTACCTTTGCACATTCCCTAGTGCTCTTTGAGAATTTAAAAATATAAGGCAAATAAAAAGCCCTTGCGTTTTCCCATCACAAACTCCACAATATACTCCATTCATCGAAAGTATTACGATCAACTGTAGTTGTCCCACTTGAACGGGGAAGAAGTGATTCCGATTCTTCGAAATGCTTTGTCGCCAAAGGGCTAAAATCTGCGGCACGTCTGCCTCCATTTATGACTGCGTCAGTTGCTAGTGCTAATCGCACTGATGCGCACGGGGAAAGGCGGAAAATGAAACATTGCCTTCTACCCAAAAGTGCGTTTCTTTGCATGGCAAAGCTTTCTGATAAGCGATCTTGTGTGAAATTGTAAAAAACGGACATTTCTTTCAGGTGCTGCGATGAAAAAACTTGTGTCTGATACGTTCTTTCGCATTTGTTTGATCTTCTGTTAGTGAGTAAAAATATGGGCTAATTTTACTACAATCAACCACAGACCTAAGCCGTAGGCTTATGGGGGTAATGTGTGGACATCTTGGGAGATTGTGCTTGTGAGTGGATGGTTTGAGGATAATGACTGGCCAAACAATGACATGCAAATGGCTAAGCGATTTAAGATAAGGGATACTACAATCTCGTCACCTTGACTACTACATGGCGTGCGGAAGCTGACTGATCCAAATGTTCCGAAGCTCAGATTAAACAATACAAAGCATGAAATGTGCTGCATCACTTACACATTAATGTGCCGAAGGAGAAGAGCATTTTTTTTGTTTATTAGGGGCTCATCTGCCACCCTACTTTCCAAGATGGTGAATGCACTCAATGAAGCATTTTTGTTCCTTTGTAAAGGATATAAAAGGATGAAAAACCAAAAGTGACTAAAATCTTATTTTATTTAATTGATGTTCATGAGAGTTCAACGATCAGGAAATAAAGTAGAGAACAATTGGGTACAAATGAGGTAAACACCATTTGCACTTTACAGTGCATGCGGACAGTGACATTTATTTTACAAGACGTCGGGGGTTTTGGGTCAGATTACTGAACTACTAAAACGAAAAATTCTACAAGACAAATGCGCTCCACTGCTCATAATACTAACGCAATACTTAGAACGAGTTTGTTGAAATGTTATCGTCCAGAGGAAAAGGGAGCCATAAGATTCTGTCAATCCACTACTATTAATGGATAGGTTGCTGCGACACAAAAGTTTGCGCTATGGTTGCCCAAAAATAACAGATTTTTTTGTTTCTCATTGCTTATACCTGGTTATAGAGTGTAAGGCTAAGCTTTTGATTGACCAAATCGCAGAGAGACCAGAGCCGTTTATAGTGTGCTGTTAAATATCTGTGGATATTTAAATTGTCTGTCCTTTATACTTCACCGTGGTTGTCTTGACGATAGATTCTGAAGACCAGAACGAAAACAAAACGATGAAGGTCCTCATCGCCTGTGGCTTACTGGTGCCATCAATGCTGCTCCTTTTGACTTGCTTATTGTTAAGACAAGGAATCAAAAGTCGAGCAAGAAAAAACAGTCTACAGAGAACCAACTGTTCCCTTCCACAACAAAGCAGTTCATGGACTGATCGTTTTGGTGATGTATCACTTCTCTGCAAACCATCCAACTCTGTCCCTGCCGCCGCCAACGCCACTTCATCGATAAAGAGTGATCTTCGGCTAATGGCTCAAGTGCCAGAACAAATACATCTGCTGGAGCCCAATTTCAAGAGTCTGAGCGATACTCAGGCGGTGACAATCATAAACAATTCCATCGATGACAGTAGAGTACTCGGGAGTGGTTCCACTGGACCGTTCAATGCATCGTTTTTACCTCATCTTGGGCTGTTCAAAGTTCGACAAATGTGCAAGAGAAGAAGGACGTGGTCCCTACCACGGACATGCAAGTCTCATAATTTGATGCACTAATTTCCTTTAAATTAGTGAGATAGTGACCAAGGAATTTTCTTTTTATTTCAGGCCCAGAATGCAAAAGCTGTGGATCCAGTTCACAGGGGTGCGCGACAGCTTTATTGCTTTTAATAAACTTTAGTGCATGTTGTCAAATTGTCAGGACTAGTTACGATCAGTCCAGACCAAAATTCTGGTTGCACTATATTCAACCACGAAAGGCGGCCACGTCGCTCTTCTACCTTTTTACTGAAACGGTAGTTTAAGTATTTTGAAAAGGTTAAAATTCGGATTTCTAACGACAATAAATTATGACTTGCACAGTTAGTTGAAAAATGACGGACTTCACAAATAATTTGCCAACATACATTATCCCACGGTAGCTTTATAGCTTTGGTCGTTATCACAGGCATGGTGATGTGCCCTTTTAGTTAGAGGTCCTTAGGGGGCGTTTTATGGTGCACTCGGCTTTTGTGTTGTTCATGCATCGCGATGCAGCTAGATTTGAGGTGAATGTCTTTGAAGCTTCTGTCTTTTAAACGAGGATTGTACTGGTTCGTCTTCAGCAACCACCGGCTTTACTGTAACCGAATTTTTGAGACAAGTGACATGCGTCTGTAAAGTCTGAGAACTTGAACACGGGCGCTTCACTTTTGCGTCCAATTATACGGTGGCAAAGTGAGCAGCAATTAATCTGTCAATGTCCCTTCGTCGGTATCTAAAATAGGGAAGGGCAGAACCGAAGTGAGAAGTCTTAAAGCCCTCTTCTCCCTATATTAACTATTCCAATCCAGCATCAATCCCGAAATTCGTAATAGATGGCGCCTTCAAAACATCCGGTACTCATCAGGTCCTTCTTTTAATTTTATTTTATGCATTTATCAAGTATTTCTTTGAACAAAGCTTAAGTTTTAAACCGCTACATTTGCCTTTTACATTTGCCATAAATGCAAAAAATGTTGCGTGTTGCAGTGCCAATTGTGTAGACATCTGTTCATTTTCTCTTTATGTTTGTGCTTGCTTTTGTTCCGGAAGTCCCGAATCCCACAAAGTGCTCAAGCATTTTTTTTCCTGTTGGGAATTGCAGTAGCC